TGGATCGGCTCGACGCGTCGCTCATCCTTCCTCCCTCACCTTTGAGCGATTTGGGTATCCTATTCCATCGCCTCCCTACTGCGTGTGCCTCAGCTCACCTTGCTACATCCATCACGACTAAGATGGCACCCCAATTTCCACCTTTGAAGAACGATCTGCTGTTACGTGCGGCCCGAGGTACGTTGCATCCATTACTCAATACGCTCATCGTCGAAGGCACTCATCGGAACACGCAGGTGAAAAAACTGAGCGCGCGCCGGTATGGATCATGCGTCAAGCAGGTCGTTATCTCCCAGGTCTCATTCCACCAGCCGGTTTTGTGTGACCTGGAACTGAAGACGATCCTCCAGAGTTCCGCGAGTTGCGCAAGGATCATGCCTTCTTCGACATCTGCAGAACGCCCGCCCTCGCAACTGAGATTACTCTTCAGCCGATCCGCCGATTCACCGGTCTCATTGACGCCGCGATCATCTTTTCGGACATCTTGGTCATTCCGCAGGCCATGGGTATGGAGGTCCTCATGAACCCAGGCCCCGAGTTTCCGGATCCTTTGAACACACCCGCGGACGTGAGCAAACTCCGAACGGTTGTGGACGTCGACAAGGAGCTCGGGTACGTCTTTGAGGCGCTAACTCAAACGCGCATCGCACTCGCGGGGGAAGTGCCGCTGATCGGCTTCTGTGGCGCCCCCTGGACGCTGTTCATGTACATGATTGAGGGTGGCGGCAGCAAGACGCACCAGAAGAGCAAGACGTGGTTGTACAAGTACCCGGAAGAATCCAAGGCATTGCTTATGCGCATCGCGGATATATGCGTAGACTATCTCGTCGGTCAGGTTAAAGCCGGGGCACAGGTGAGTTTTTGGTGCTATTTTCGTGACTATTACCAACGGCGAAACCTCGATCTAGATTCTGCAAGTATTCGATTCCGTCGCAGGGGAACTGTCCCCCGACGATTTCGACGAGTTCTCTTTCCCATCCTTGGTACACATCTCTACAAATGTCCGCAAGCGGCTAGCTGAAGAGAACATACCCGCCGTTCCAATGACGCTCTTTGCCAAGGGCTCCAACTACGCTCTCGCTTCGTTGGCTGAGAACTCGGGCTACGACACGCTGGGGTTGGACTGGGCGATCGATCCTGCTGAGGCTCGGAGACTTGTGAAGGGCAAGGTTGCGCTCCAAGGGAACATGGATCCGAGCTTGCTTTATGGCGGTCGCGTCGCAATTGAAAAGGCTGTCAAGCGGATGTGTGCGAGGTTTGCGGTCGAGGGAAACACCCAGGCCTGGATCGCAAACCTCGGTCATGGAATCACTCCCGCCGTTGATCCTGAGGACGTACGATGGTTCTTCGAGTGCGTGCACAAGTATTCGAGCCACAACTCTTCGTGAGCACGAAAATGTGCTGGTACGGTATGCCTAGGTGTATCCGCTGTGTAGATGAAATGAATGCAACAGAATCTATAATCTAATCTGTCACGATGATGCCATCATTTTCTATCTTCTCCCAGCCTTCAGCCTCACTCATTATCGAACATCTTAAATGGAATGGATTCCTGGCCTGTCGGACCGAATTTCAAGAGCAAAGAGAAAGCATATCCCATCTTGAGTCACGGCGCGAAGACCTCCGCTACCTTATTAGAGCACTCTGGTCGATTCGATTGGTCATTTCTTGGTACCAATGCAACGCAAGGTAATTGCGCGCGTCGTACTCTTTCGAGCAGGCCTCTCAAATCCGTGAAGCACAGGAAAGGCTTAGCATTAGCAAGCCAGCTGTCATGTTTCCCGCGACGCGTGCGCCGCCCCTCGCAGTACCGGAAATCTCAGTCCGTCACCGTGCAGAACAAGGCGTATGTTCTCCACTCGGCAATATATCCGTCGTTTTGACACCGACACGTATACAGGCCCATTATCTTCAGACTTTTCTCCCTGATCTTGAAATACCGGCTGAACTGATCCGCGACGAACTCACAAACGATGCCAACTTCCAACGCGATTCTCAAGCATTCGATGCCTTTGCGGGGAACAGACTGGAGGTTGTTGGGGTCGAAGGGCCTGAAGTTGTCTCAGCACGCAATTTGCACCTTGCGTTTCCCATGGGTGAACTTGGCTGTGATCTCAGTGAGTACACTTGATATCACCGGCTTTGATCTCATCCAAACTCAGACATCTCCCCCTGGACAACCGATGAATCTCAGATCTTTGGACCTGCTGCTCAGTCAGTAAGAACCTTTGACACGCCGATTCAGCAGATATCCGCTTCCAAGCCAAGTGAAGGGAATACGCAATGTACTGTGGTTGTTACATCTCATCCCATAGAATTGACAACCATTCTAGCTTCATCCTATCTCAGTGTTCGTACGTTCGGGGCGACCTCTCTGCTCAAATTACGTGGGCTCGGCGATACTAGCAAGCTACGGGTGCAAGAATTTGCATCCATATCCTCCGCCCAGATTGGTGGCAAGCCCGCAGTCGATGTCAAGCATCTACCTGAATCGAACCTGCTCCTCGTGAACCGCTGCGGACAAGTTTATCACTGCAATTGGGATGCAAATACTACGTAAATTCGCATTTGAGACCGACTGCCGTAGCTTACGCGCCGCAGAATCGTCGACCATATCTTGAATGATGCGAATCCAAGCGATCCATTCTGGAGGCTCGAACTAACCGATCGATCGGATGCATGTTGGCTCCTGTGCAAGGAGAACCTTAGAGAACTTGACTTGAGGGTGAATCGTTGTCGCCTACAGCTCTTTGCGGCGCTACTCACATCGATCAGTCTCGACAATCTGTTTTGGACATCGCTTTCGGGGAAACATACACTTCTGTCGAAGACTGTACACAGGACCACCTGTTGCGTCTGTGCTCAACTTCACATCTCACCTGGTTCGATCGTCGCAAGGCTTCACAGCCTGTCCTCGCCTATAAGCATCATCGCTCGTATGATCGGACGTTAGAAGCTAAAACCATCACAATCGGAAACAGTACGCACAATGGGTCATGGTCTTTTCCTTGGTCTCATGAGATGTGAAGAACATTATACCACCCTATCTTCGAAGGACAACGGTTTGGTCACGATCTACGATGTTTCCAACGCCGGTCTTATTAGTGCGAATGACTCGCCGTTTTGTCTATCAGCTACTGTTCCCGGCAAGCAAATCGGGCAGATCTTCCTGAAGAGCGATTCTGATGTCAAATTTCTGCGATTGTCTGATTTGGGTGCTATCCACGGCTGGCAAATCACGGACAAGCATCCCGTCGAACTCAAGGTGGATTGGTCTGAAGATGTCCGTCGATTGCACTCCGAGTCAGCTGCACTTCGGGACGAACCCACTCGACTAGGCGCTCATCAGCCCACTCTCATCGATTTATCTCCAGCTTACGAGAGTGTGTGATTTTACTTCGATCCAAACTTGCGCTCATCTACTCTGTGTAGAGATATTTTATCCCAAGGATGAAGACGAACTAGAAGAATCGGCAGAGGCTCTGTATGACATGATTGAAAAAGCGCCGACCTTGTCTCAGGAAGAGACAAACGAACGGGACAATGGAATCCGAACCACGTGCGTATCTTCATTTCCCTCCGTGTAGATCCTGGCTCAATACTTGCAGGTTCGATCTGCTATTTCAATCCGGAGAGAAGCCTGCTCAGGTCGCTCGGTCTGACTTTCTCACTGAGACAGTCATTGATTCAGAACGGGCTTATCACGCGTTGCTTCAGGGCCGGCTTTCATCCAGTACTCTCCAGGGCAGCTCAAAATGGACTCATGATCACTTGGAAACATTGAGGGCATTCGATCACACTTATGTAGCCGACCCTCACTCCTTCGTCGACAACTTGCGGCAATCCGACCCTATTTCCGACTCGGACCGAGCGGCCAGCTCTTTGAGGCGTGAGACAAGGGCAAGAGAACAGCTAGCCCTCGATCTCTCCCTGGCCCGGAATATCTATTCGTCACGGCCGTTCCACACCGCTGAAGAGGCCGATCAAGAACTGGAAACTATGACGGCAGTCATGTCTCTCGCCGACGAGCCGGCCCAATTCAAATTCGCCTTCCTTCGTCCAGTGGTGCATCCAGAGGCAGTAGTGACAGGAAAGTTCGGCGAGGAGATTGTTCCTTCCTCAGTCCGGTCACTGCTCAAGGACTGGGATGTGGGTACAGACCCTAAAAAGCACTTGTTCAAAGACTTCGATGAAGAACTCAGCGTCGCAGGCAACGCTCCTCTGTCCCATAACCCTACAAAGGGCCGTTTTCGACCTACACAGGATGTCAAGTCGCATCCTCCTTTGATTGGGTTGAGCCAGCCAGTGGCTAATCGACACAAATTCCTCTCTCAGGATCGGCCGATGCTGCAAGATCTGGCAGTGCAACGGCGACCTCCACTGGTTTCCGGCAGTCAGCCCATGGAAATCGACAAGGACCGGTCCCAGTCTCAGGAGATGATGGCCAGCACACAGATCTTGCCCGGGGCATTTGGCGGGCGGCCAGCCATCAAAAAGAAGGTCAAAAAACGGATTGGTGGTTTTTAAATTAGTACATCGGCTGGATTCAGGCGAAATATGTATGTACTATCCAATTCGAACTCCTACGATCAGTGCCAACATTGTGTGAGGCAGACCGTAGACAAGGGCTGTTCAGGTCAAGTCATCAATCGGTCGTTTCATGACTCACGGGAAAGTGTACTCGGGCAAACGTCAGTTGAACAGTTACAGATATGGGGCTGGTTTACTAACTAGAAAGCGTCGGCTCCGCCGACATTCTGCCTTGCTATTTGTAATACGGGCAACTACGACGGGTCGAACTCGAGACCGACAGGAAAAACACGGAGAGGAACGGAACAGCGGGGGAAGCCGGGTCCGACGAAATCAAGCCAATTATGAGGGTGGAGAAGCCTTGACAAGCAAGGCAATGACTGCCTCGCATCTTCTTATCATGCGCGGTCACGAATCTGATCTTGCACCGTCACAGGTTATGTGACTGTACATCTCATTAGTCAGCATCATCTGATCTCTGTCCCCTCTGTAATTTCTCCCGTTTGCCGTCGTGCTCCTTCAAGATGAGGTCAGTCGTCTCTCACTATTCTTCAGATCTCTACTGACGCGATGGACTCTCTCCAGTCACCGTAAGGTCTGTAAAATCTGCGCAATTTCAAGGCTCGCATCTCATACAGCCACTTTTTCAGTTCGAAGCTCCCCGTCACGGTTCTCTTGGTTTCCTTCCCAAAAAGCGTGCCGCGCGCCACCGCGGAAAGGTCAAGTCCTTCCCCAAGGCAAGTCTCCCTTGAATTATGATCACGACGATTGTTTCTGAACGCGACTTGCGCAGGATGACCCCAAGAAGCCGGTGCACTTGACTGCTGTTATGGGCTACAAGGCTGGTATGACACACGTTGTTCGTGACCTTGACCGTCCTGGATCGAGTACGTTAGTCTGCCATTGGTTATTGTCATCGTTCAAACCATGGGCCCTTTAGAGATGCACAAGAAGGAGATCGTTGAGGCCGTCTCTATCATCGAGACTCCCCCCATGATTGTCGTTGGTGTTGTTGGTTACGTTGAGACTCCCCGTGGCCTGCGCACTCTCACCACCGTCTGGGCCTCCCACCTTTCCGATGAAATCAAGAGGAGATTCTACAAGAACTGGTACCGCTCGAAGAAGAAGGCGTTCACCCGGTACGCCAAGAAGCATGCTGAGGACAGCGGCAAGTCCACTGCCCGGGAGATCGAGCGTATCCGCAAGTACTGCACGGTCGTCCGTGTCCTCGCACACACCCAGATCCGCAAGACCGGTCTCTCGCAGAAGAAGGCCCATCTTATGGAGATCCAGGTCAACGGAGGCTCCATCGCCGACAAGGTCGAGTTTGCGCAGGGCCTGTTCGAGAAGCCTTTCGAGGTTTCGTCGGTGTTCGAGCAGGACGAGTGTGTCGATGTTATTGCTGTTACGAAGGGTCACGGATTTGAGGGTGTTACACACCGTTGGGGAACGAAGAAGCTGCCGAGGAAGACACACAAGGGTCTCCGCAAGGTCGCTTGTATCGGTGCATGGCATCCTTCCAAAGTCATGTTCTCGGTTGCTCGTGCCGGTCAAAGTGCGTGCTACCAGCCGCTCTCTGATTAATATGCTAAGTTGCTCTTGGTTTGCAGACGGTTACCACCACCGAACAGAGATCAACAAGAAGATCTACCGTGTTGGCTCTGGTGTCGATGACGGCAATGCGTCGACAGAGTCTGATGTGACCAAGAAGTCTATCACACCTATGGGTGGTTTCCCCCACTACGGTATCGTCAAGAACGACTTCCTGATGCTCAAGGGCTCTATCCCCGGTACCAAGAAGCGTGTCATCACCATCCGTAAATCGCTCATGGTCCACACCTCTCGCCGTGACCTCGAGAAGGTCCAGCTAAAATTCATCGACACTTCTTCCAAGTTCGGCGTAAGCTTGAATGACTACATGCGTCAGCAAACGGCTAATAAGATTGTTTGCAGCACGGTTCGTTCCAGACATTCGAGGAGAAGGCGGCCTTCCTTGGTGTTCTCAAGGTCAAGTCGCAGTAGATGTTTGTACCTATGCATACGCCATGTCCACACTATCTTTCTGCTACTCCATATGTGCTATGCATCATCAGTTCCCTGGGAATTGCCTGAAAGTTCAAGTCGGGATGGATTTTGAAGGACCCGCGAAGGCACGTGATGCATCACGCTTGTGTAACAGTCACACACATACGCTTCCTGGAAAAAGTTGCTGGCGCGTCCCACGACGTGAATAGAATCTCAGGAGGCAACCAAGGCCACTGTGGGGGTGATTTTCACGCTGGGATTGTACGTATAACCTGCCAGTTCTCTCCTCAGTCCGCGCACTGATGAGTATGTGTGCTACAGGATGACTTTAGTTGATGCGCAGAGCCTCTTCGCTGGGCACTGTCCTCCATCCAGCGCGCTCTGTTCGGCATACGCATCCTCCTCCGCCATGTGCCGTACTGATCCGGAGATATCGTTCAATGCCGGCTCGTCCGAGCGACCAAGAGCGGATGGGCACTGGCGTATCCCGTGGAGAAGACGCAGAACCCCCGGCACCGGCGACCTCAGTCTCACCAGCTGCCAGCAAACTTGGAAAAAGACCTGGTGGATTCCACCTCCCCGACCCTGCCCCTCTTCCGCTTTCCCTTTCCTCCTCTCGCTTCCAACTTGTTACACAGCAAGCCGCCAAGTACCCGACCGGAAAAGCCTGGCAGCGTCTGCCGCTCCCTATCATTCACACGAAAATCATCAAATTCCAGCAGACCATCCGTCTGGGTGGGGGCTGCGACGATCCTTTCGACGACCTCGATCTGCCGTTGCTGTTCGACATCGAGCGGTCCGTGCGTATGCGTGTCGACAGAGTCGCGTGGAGGAGGGACCTTCTGCGCGTCTTGGGCAACACGCAATCGTACCCGCAAGGCTGGATGGCGTACAACGCGCTCATGTCCATTCCGTTTTCCATTCCGCACCGACACTTGAACCGGCTCGTGCGCCTGATGACGCAAGAAGGGACGAAGACGCGCAAACTTTTCGGCCGCATGTTGTCGGTGTTTACCTCGATCCACCGGAATGGGTGGGCGATCGAGGGATACCAGTGGAACATCCTGATCGACACTGCAGGGAAGGGCTTCCGGAAAGCGAGACAAGAGGATTTCAAGCGCGCGTTTGACGTCTTCACGGACATGGTGTCGGCGAGAGCGCCCGGCGCGACTATGTCCTCTGAATACAGCGCGACTTGGGGGTATGATGAGGATGCAGGCGGTCACGAGCAGAATGTCCTGCCCGACGTGTATACTTACTCAACACTCATCAATCATGCTGTGAACACTCGCCACGGCGACACAGTCCGACAATCGACATCCCTCCTGACCGCATCGAGACTCTCTCCGAGCCGGGTCACCCATCTTACACTGCTGAAACATCATACAAACGAGGGAAACCTTGCGGGCGTGCGCGCGAGTCTGCTCAAATTGCGAGAGCAGCAGCAAGAATTAGGGATCGACGGGCTGAATGCCTGCATGTGGGCATTCTCGCGCCTTGGTTATATGGAGGTGGCGCTGAACATATACCGTGTCCTGCGGCACAACATGGTTGCCGAGACCCTGGTGGGGATCGACGATATCTTCATCGTGTGGCGGTCCCTGCAGAATGAGGGGATCGAGATCCCTGAGTCGATGGTGCCCAACGAAGTGACGTACACGACTGTCGTGCAAGTCGCCGCCTACCACGGCGATCTCAAGACTGCGCTCACTGCCTTTCAAGACATGTTGTCCTCTCAGAATTCGGAGATCGGCGCTCGGATCTACAGAGACGAGTTTGGTAAACTACAGCCTGTGGTTTACTCGCCCACGCTCCCCGTTTTCCGGGCCATTTTCTTGGGATTCTCGCGGCACGGCGTGGTCGAATCTACGGCAGAAGAGACACAGCCGTGGGACTTGAGCAGCCTGCATTCCATGTTTGATGTATTCTTGGCCCTGCCGGAACACGTGAAGCCGAATGTGTCTGTCCTGTACTGGGTTCTCACTGCGTTTGACAAGACGAGTAACCGAGATCTTGCGCTCCTGCGTTCAGTCTGGACTCGTCTCGAGGACCGATTCGGAGAGAACTGGGGCGGGAAGGGGCACCGATTGCGCCGCATTCGGGAGTCGCTGTTTACAGACGGCGTGTCGAATCATCACAACCTGGAATAGTGCTATATACATACATACAATCTACGCATTCTGCTGATTTCTCCAACCAATGTATTCGGCCCATGTCACACTGTGCTTGCGTGACTGGTACCGTTGCAACTTGATGCTCCGACGCAGATCCTCTGTGATCGTGCCATTCCATCCCGCTTTCTCGATCGCGCTATCTACCGCCTCCCGCTTATCCCAGCCCTGTTCCGGTGCGATTTCCGGCAGGTACGTCGCACTGAACTTCTGGCGCGATGTGATTGGCGGCAGATGCGTCGCCGAGGAGAGGGGCGAAGGTGTGACCGAGGTCGCAGTGAGCAGCGATGGGTGAGGGAAGGAGATCGATATCCCGTGTGTGCCGAGAGTCCAGTCTAGATACGAGTCCGCGTCTTCGAAGTCGGTCAGAAGCGAGACCCTGTGGCTGTGAGAGGACGCGCGGCACCCCGGTAGGCGGGAGGGGCTTACGCGCATTCGAGCGTCTCCAGCTCGCTGCGCTCTATGCGGCGGAACCGGTGATCTCGGAACGCGCTGACGAGCGCGAACTCGGCCAAACCGTCGTGCAGCGTCAGAGCCTGGAAACTGCCTATGCAGCCGCGCAGTCGAGGGGGGCGATTGGAGCGAAGGGTGTTCCATGTGACGAAGAGAGGACTGTCATCGAATATCTAGCGCGAGATCTAATACAGTGAACGAGCATAGACTGACTACTTGTCGTCAGCGAAGCTGGGCTTGATCGGTGTTGCCGACGTAAGTGCGCAGTACAGCGCGTCAAAGGCGTGGAAGCAATGTTCTGCGGTGCATACAGAGTCACTGGACTCATCTACCAACTCGGGGACCGGGGACATGGGGGGCAGAGGCAGACCAATAAGAGCCTAATCGGGGAAAGTCACGGACAAACAAGGGCGTTAGAGCATGATTGTATGTTCGTCCTAATCTCTGAGAGTTAGCAGCGCTTTGATTCCCTGTCCTGTTTGCCAGGGGCTCAAGTTTAAACGACACAATCCGAGATTCGGACGGCCGGAAAGAGCTTGTGCTGCAGCAGGGAAATCTGATCTAATCTGACGATCACATCTAATCTTCTGTGAGGAATTTCTGGAAAGAGCACGATTCGAGGGATATTCATACACTATACGCGGGAGATAGGATATATGTACAGACATGCATGTAATAACTATGTGGCGGTACTGGTATAGCTGACAGTGGAATAAAGCGAGAAATAACCAAAGACTCAGGTAGGCATAAGGAATAAATGAACGGACGAGACCGGTAGGTACACGATACCATGTCAATGCAGGTGAGAGTGAGTCATGAGAAAGGAAATCGATGTGCGGAGTATACAGATGTAACGAGAACGGCAGTCGGAAATGAGAAGGTTCACGGAGGAACAAGATAGCCCAGGGCGCGATCTCAATCACGCACCAGGCGCCCAGCACCCGTCCTGGACCTCTGTGAGAGCAATGCGCAATGTCATCGCCATGGCTGTGCCCCCAAATCCCATGGGGGTGGTAAAATCGGTCTTCAACAGCATCCCCATGCCCGACCCGATGTACCGTTCTGCTTCGCCTTTTCCCTGTCGTCGACATCGTCCGCTTGGCTGCTCCATGCAGGCGCGATGGGATCAAGAAAGACACTGTCCCTTTTCCTCGCTGTGTTCTCCTGCTCGATTTCGTCTTTATGGAGAATGATTGCACTGATGAGATGCTCAAAAAGATTCTTGATGCCTGCAGATGGACGTAGTGAGTAAGATAAGACGATAAGGCCCGGAAGACGAGAAAGGGATAGCACAGATGTACCATCGCAGAGATGGGAATCGCCAAAAGTTCCAGAAGCATGGACGGGGAAACTCACCAGTGTCATCCTTGGCGGACACCTCAAACAACTCCATCCCTTTACTCAAACCCCATTCCCAGCCCTTTCCCACTGCATCTTCATCTTCATCTTCTTCGCCGCCATAACCCTCGTCCTCCCCATTACTGTTACTTCGACTCTCATCCTCATGCCACCCGCCAACTTGGAAGCCAAAATGGGAACCGAAGCGCGATCGTTGTGGGGGAGACTGTGAGTGGCCTGTGCGTGATGACACGGCCGATGGACGGCTGATGGCCGATGGCCTGGTGGTGGGAGATTGCAAGTCCAGATACGCGGTACGAGTAGTTGTTGATTCCGTCGAATCCTTTCTCTGTCCTGTTGCCTTCGCTTGCGGATTGATTACGGGTGCTGAGCGCAGTCCCGGGAAGGAGGTAAAACGTGGGCGAATGTAAGCGAGCGTGCTCATCTGCGGCGGCGGTGGCGGCGGTGTCGGAGGTCGGGGTGGCGGAAACCAATTATGCAGTTGCAAACGTGCGAGATCAGGTGTAACTTGTCTATGTTCATGAAGGTCCGCCTTCGAGCCGACGATGTAAATGAGTAGCGAAGGCGGACAGTTCTTCTTGAGCTCTTAGAGGATGACATGAATGAAATGAACTGTCTCGCGCAATCCCATTGACGTACCCTGCAACCAGCCACGAATGTCGTCAAATGTGGACGCGTTAGTGATGTCGTAAAGCAGTAGAGCCGCATTTGCGCCTGGGCGGAGATCAGCGCACAATGCTAGACCTCCAGAACACTGCGCACGAACCTCGGTAGTACATAGGTGCCTGCCCAGAGAATTTGGTCAGAATCGGAAAGGAAAACGGGACTAGTGAGGCGTACCATGCTCCGGAACCGCTCCTGGCCCGCAGTGTCCCATAGTTGGAGACGAACTTTTAGTCCGTTGACTTGGACCTAGCTGGGGTTAGATGGTCGTCGAGGAAGAGAATAGGTCAAGGGTCCACCTTCTTTGTGACGAAAAAAGCGCCGCTGGTGGAGGTAGTGTTCTTGGGCTCGAACTTGTTCTGGGTGTATCGTTGTAGCAGGCTCGTCTTGCCCACACCTAGCGACGCGCGATGTTCGGTAGGGAAGAGAGGGTGTGGGGTAAATGGTAGCAACACGGGATGAAGGAAAGGAGTAGATGGCAAATCAGCTTAGAAGGTTGAACGAAGCCTACACAAGAGACGTACCAGAATTGCCCATAACGACGATCTTACTATCAACGCCTTGCTCGTAGCGAGAGCGCGAGTAAGGATCCATTCCCGTTAGTCGGTCGTATTGGGCCATCGTGGGTGAATTCCACGCAATATCGATCAAAGGTGAAGAGTGGGAGTGCAGTTATGTAGTCAATTGACGCCTCGTAAACGTCAAGAGAGGACGGATGAGGCGGAAGACAGGTAAGGCGAGATGGTGGCCAGCCGTTTACGGTGTGTCTGCAGGGAGAAGGGGAGGAGGAAAGAGGGCCTTGCCGCACCAAGGCGGGAGTCTCTGGGAGAGGCTCAAAGGTGTCACTGTTGTTACACACGGAGCACGTGCGTCGATGCCGCTCTGCTGCAGATCTCCCTTTCTGGCAGACCTTTCAGGCGAAGCACCACTGCTAAGTATTAGCGACGCACGCGGCTGAGCAGAGGAATGGGGATTCTCGCTGCCGGTGAAGGATGAGAGTAAAGACGACAGAGCGAATGTCAAGTGTTGTATAAAGTGTACAGGAGTCCGGGCCCGATTATGTGGAGTGTCTCGCTCAGAAGTCGGACCTTGGCGAAGTCCGTTGGCATGGAGTTTCATCCGGCGTCCTTCAAGAATCAAAAGACACCTTGGCGGCGCGAATTGAGGATTGGAATCACGTCCCGCACGGATACGTTCACAGGGCGATCACTCTATCAGTCCACTGCATGAATCGGCGCGTCGGACCCTTCCTCTCATAGTGCACCCGGCGACGAGCCTGTATCCTCGAATTGCTCTCGCACGCCTAGGGTCATTGTTCACCCAATCGGGGAATTGACTTCCCTGTTCAGGATAGCTGAACATCCAACAGCAGGGCGGAAAGAACGTGGCATCCGATTTCTCAGATGATGTCTGATGACAACTTATTATAAAAGATATGATAACCAATGAAGAGGTGGCAATGCATAGCTTTTTATATGGCATGAAAGCATACTAGACATGAAGTACACCAAGGACGCGCCTATTCCTGGGACACAACGGGGAACTCGAACACGACATCCTTCCCTGTGAGACGACGGTAGACAGAGGAGAAAGAGTCAAGCTTGTACTCCAGCGACGTAGCGTCCTTGGAGTCGAGCAGGCTGAGAGCCAGTCAGCTTGGTTTCCTGGAGCTGAAAATGGTTGTAAAAAGAGACGCACACTTTGAGGAGCTTGGAGCCATCAACGGCCACCCGGGTGCGCTTTCCGACAATCTCGGTCGGGAAGACAAGGTCCTCGAGGATGCGCTCGTGGACGTTGGTGAGGGTACGGGAACGAGGGCGCTTCTGCACAACACGCGAAGTGCGGGTGGGTTTCCGGAGCATGCGGCGCTGGGCGACGAACACGACGTGACGGTCGCTGAACTTTTTCTCGAGTTCCCGTGTTAATCTGCACGCACAGATGAGCATGTTAAACGCGTCCGCGGAGTGCCTCAGAAACGCCATACCTCTGCTGAACCTTGCGGAAGGCCTTCAGCTGAGGAACAGGGACGAAGATAACGATGGCTTTCTTTCCGCCTCGGACATCGACCTCCCGAGCAGCAGAGATTTGGAGAGACCGGAGCTCAGTCTTCAGTTCCGGGACGTTGTTTTCGAGATCAACGAGGGCCTGAGCAACGCTGAGCTCAGTCTCATCCGGAGCGGTGGTGGGCGCGTTGGCGGTGCGGAGAATCTTGTTTGCTGCCGACATTTTCTGTGAAATTTATCAGATTGATGTTCTGACTGCCTTCAACTCTCTCTCCACGGATTGGGAGACCAGTCGCAGTCGCCCGTCACAAGCGAAGGAGATAAGAGAAGGCAAACATGAATGCAGCACTCACCCTGGCCTCTTGTACGGCGACGGCGACTACGAAATGAAGAGCGTTTCTTTCGACGGAGGGCTGTGCTAGAGAGGCTGTGCCGAATCACGTGTAAACTGTACATCTCAATCTTATCGAATCAATCAGCCGTATCTCATCAATGTGATCTTATCTTTGCCATTGTCGCTTTCTGTCTTCAAATCATCCCACCTTCAAGACGCGCGCTCAGCGTAGAGAAGGGCGAGCCGGGAAATCATTACGTTACTGATATTCATCGGATGAATCTTTCTGGCGCAGCGCGAGCTTGCCGCCACATTCGACTTCAGAATATGCCCACGCAATTGGAGGGACTTGTCGGTTTGTGACCGTTGCTGGGCATCACTGGCGGGACGTTGATCTCATTATCTTCAATTCTCTCCTGTGGTGAGTTTGTTTGGCACACGACCAGAACACACAAATGGAAATATCATTTCCCGATTGGGCCTTGCTCAGGAGGATGAGTCGGGACATCTTGTGCGCTCGTGAGCCAATGCAGACCCGTTCTAACCGCAGTCACGACTCACCTCGGCTCCCGCCCCCCGCTCGCTTTCTTTTCTCGACCTATTCAATTGCAGAGTTGTTTACCTGTGATGCCGGCCGGTTTATACGCGAGTTTGCGTTCTGCCTGACTTTGCATTCCGAGTCCATCAAATAGAACCAGATTCACTCCATTTTCACGCTCTTTCAATCAGTGATGTCTATCGTCTGGTTGCCATAATCTCCTGTGCGAACTCATTCTACAGAGGGCGTTCAAGGATTCCCCCTCACGGCATCTCCGCTAAAAAGGCACCGGAACTCGCTAGAGAAGAAGAAGAACCGGGAGATTGGTGTGCTCTCCGAGGTCCACTTATCAGCGGACAGTGCTCCAGATTGAGATCAGACTCTCCGCGGCACGCACGGCTCCGAGATTCTGCTCCCACCTCCCCCGCATCTCTGCCGTCTCTGTTCCACGCTCCACCTCTGCACTCGGTCATATGTTTTTGTTCTCGCCCATCCTGGTTCCCAAAGTTGACCGTCGCGCACGATAGATAATTTAGATAAGTAGTCACTACCGGATGGAGACTGGCGAGCATCCCGATCACAGCTTCTTTGGCTAAGCGATTGAGCCAGACATGCGACATGATAGCCCATCTCCTTCGTTTCAGGACTTGCTGGGTCTCCTGTCCTGCGACTCTGTCATATCTCGGCCAGCGGCCCAGTTGACTCGGATAACGTTGGATAACGGCTTCTTTTTGATGCGCGGCCATCTGGAGCCTTCCATATAACCTGGCCACGGTCCTTTGCATCCGTGTTGGCTCCCCTCAACCTCCCCACGACCTAGCTCGCTCCCATGGCTGACGCTATTCCTGATGAGAAGTACACTCCCAGCGAGGACACCGGCTCCGGCACCCAGGTCGAGCTCTTTGAGCGTCCCCAGGGTTTCCGTGGAATCTACACGCACCCTACCACCCAGGTCGGCGCCGGTGCCTTGGATCTCCTCCGGGACGCGCTCATTCTTTTTCCAGGTGGCCATGGTCGGATTCGTCTGCTTCATGTGCCCGGGACTGTTCAACGCGTTGGGCGCGATCGGTGGTGGTGGACAGGTGGATCAGACGACTGGTGATTTTGCCATGTTCTGCGACCCTGTGAGAACAGCGCTGATACTCCCGCAGCTGCTAACGCGAATGTCGCGCTCAACTCCACTTTTTCGGTTATGGCCTTCTTCGCTGGGTGCGTTCATATCTTCCGCAACCTTCCTGCGCGTGCTGATTCCACTTCAGGTCCATCCACAACAAGATCGGTGCTCTCCGGACCCTGCAAATCGGTACTCTTGGGTCGGTCTTTTTTTCAACACTGCTGTTTGCATCTCATCCCGGCTTGTAGATATTCTCTCTACATTGCCAGCTTCTTGTGCGTAGATGCTTGTCGACATTCCATTCCCATCCTCAAATCCTTACAGGGCGTTGAACATCCACCCTGGCGCCAAAGCTTTCGTCATTGCTGCTGGTGCTATCCTCGGTGTCTGTGCTGGACTGCTGTGGACAGCACAGGGGACGCTGATGCTCGCATACCCGACTGAGGCCAACAAGGGACACTACATCGCCATCTTCTGGTCCATCTTCAACTTGGGCGGTGTCGTCGGTGGTGCTGTCGCGTTTGGAACCAACTTCCACAAGACGGTGTGTGTCACAACGCAACTCTGGACTGCTCTTCGCTGACGCTCGCATCGTCCAGGCCGGCAATGTCAACAACTCTACGTACATCGCCTTCCTCGTGCTGACCATCATCGGATGCTGCATCCCCTTCATCATGACCAGCCCCAAGGACGTGATTCGCTCCGACGGCACCAAGCTGAAGATCCCCCAGCACCCTCCCTGGAAGGTCGAGATCATGCGTCTGTACGTTGCGCTCAGGACCGACCCGATGATCCTGCTCCTGTTCCCCATGTTCCTTGCCTCGAACTGGTTCTATACGTGGCAATTCAACGACTTCAACGGCGCTCTGTTCAGCACCCGCACCCGGCCCCTGAACAGCATGCTCTACTGGGCCTCGCAGATCGTCGGTTCGCTGGCCATGGTGGTCATCTTCGATCGCCACTCGCTGAGCCGCAAGACGCGTGCGTATATCGCGTGGGGTCTGCTCCTCGTCATGGTCTTCGTCGTCCACGGATGGGGATACACTTATCAGAAGCAGTACACCCGCGCTTCTCTGAAGGGCGCCACTCCCATTGATCTCAGTGCGTCGTTTCCCCCTTGCCTGGAGCATTCTTCTGATGGATGCCAAAAGAGGACAAAGAATACGTCGGACGAGTGTAAGTCTTGAACGCGAATGCACTTGCATCGTCCTGATCTCAGCGCAGCTTCTTCTATATCTTCTGTGGTCTCCTCGATGCCATGTGGCAGACGACTGTCTACTGGCTCATGGGTGCCATGTCGAACGACACGTCCAAGCTTGCTTACTTCACCGGCTTCTGTGCGTCGCGTTCTGCCCACGCAAAAGTCGATATCCAGCTTATCACACATCTATCACACAGACAAGTCGGTTCAGTCAGCTGGTGCTGCTGGTGTCTGGCGCGCTGATGCCATCGGAACTCCGTAAGTGCCTGTTTAGTCACGCAAAGAGGCCTCTTGATTGATCGATCGAATCCACAGCTACATGAACATCTTCGCCTCCACCTGGGCCCTCTGCGTCGCAGGCCTCGTCTTCGCTCTGCCGATGATCCACCTGCGCGTGACCGAGACGACGTCACTGGAATCCGACATCGTGTATGCTTTCCATCTCGTTCAATCTACCCTGCTTGACCTCTTATCAGTGTCGCTGAGGTCGGCGAAAAGGAGTTCAGCAAGGGCGTTGTCTAGATCCCATATATATATACATGTTTACGCTCTATCCACGACTCTTATATTACTTACGAATGGGAAGTTCTCGCTTGGGAGATCAGGATGAAGCGCAAGGTGACGCTAACATCAACGACCATTCGGGCATCCATAGACTATAGGTGAGACACGAAACATAAGCATTTAATATCTATCATCAGACAGATTGCGGAAAGTGGACATGAGACGCGACCAACGGTCAGACACATCAGTTGCAGCAACGCGATCACGTGTTAGTCACCTGACACGACTGGCCGCACAACCACCGCGGCACAAGTCGGCAGGTAGTGACGTGTAGTAGCAGGTATTTTCCATCAGACATGGCGCACCCTGTATATTCCGAACGATGAGATGTACATGGTGTACTGATTCATCAGTAATGAGGGTTCAACGTTTGAGCCCACAGCTCGCGTTTCTCCTGGTGACTCGTGAGTCGTGACTACGGCGGGGATTACAGTCCCGCGGCTATATTACATGGGTACGGCGGGCCAATATTCCCATCACATCATATGCGCGTGCAACTACTGATCCCACTGGTGTCTGCTACCCCTGAACAAATGAACCATTCCAACAGGAATGAGATTCGGGTCCACCGCTTCCAGTGTACCGAACTTTTGGATAACCTGGTCCCTGTGACAGTGTAAGTTTCCATTCACAGGGTTGGAGCAAAGAGAGCTCACCCGTATAGAGCCAAAACCCATCGGTCGTAGAAATCACGCGGCTGCCACTTCGATCGCTGCAGGTGGTCGGGCAGACGCAGCCACGTCGGCTGGGTGTGGCCGAGCAAGCGGACATAGCGTTCTCTCCAGAACCGGGACGCAGTCTCGCGATAGGAGACGAAGCTCTCGAACGAGGGGAACTCTTCCGTCTGTGGTGCGAGGAGACTGCGCGACCAGCGTTCCTTCGCGCTCAGATAGTTTTCGAGATCGCCTTTTTCGATTTGTTCGGTGAATCCACCGGCGGGATCCTCCGGGAAGTTGGCTCGCACAGCTAGCAGCTCGATGAGCGCATTGCGCAGCTCCATCCCTCCGCTGGCGATGGGGAAGTAGAAATACCCGTCCGGGAGCCCGTCGACACCAAAACGGTCTTTGATCATGGTGCGGAGATGCCCGACAGCGCCGTTCTCCTCGGGGAACAGTTCTCGCTGGACGCGGGCCAGCGTGCCGAGCATGTCGTCGACGTGGGCCTGACCCAGACAGAGCGCAGGCCCAAACGACACGGTGGGACGGGCACCGAAGTTGCGCGAAAAGAAGGCCATGTATTTGTTGTACGCGTTGATCCAGCCAAAGATGGACTTGCGAGAAGCCAGCTGACGGCGCAGTTCGGCGATGTGGAGGTCGACCTCGGCTTGGTCGATGACAAACCGCTGTTTCTCGGCGTCGAGCTTCAAGAAACCCCAGCGGACGGGCCCAGTGGGTATCCCTGGTGAGGGAGAACCCCCTATCGAGACTGAGCCTGTCTTTTCCTGGTTGATTTTCAGGCCGGTGAGATCCGCAAACTGGGTATAACGTGAGCACGCGCGAGTGGATAAGCTGCCACCATACCTTGATCAACTCTGCCCATGCAGCTGCACATTTGCTCGAATCCGAATCCCAGAACCAGATATCATCGTGGATGCGGTAGAGGAACAGACCATCGGTGCGGCGGTTGATGCCCAGATCCAGACAGAACAGGACCGACTCGCCGAAAAAGGTGCTCAGCGCGTATGAAATCGGGGTGCCGCATTTGCGGATCCGGGGAGGGGAGCCTGGCGCATCGTTTGCAAACGTCAAAGGCACCTCCAGGAACCGGCGGAAAAACGCGATCCACTTTGGAGAGACCCCGAAGAAAGCAAGGCAGGTGACAATGGTATCGAACGAAAGCGATGGGCCGAACCATTCAAAGTCCGAGCAGACCACCGTGTGAGTTTTGTGCAGGGTGGAGTTCAGATAACATTCTGTGGCGACCAGATGTAGCAGCTCTTGTTTCACGTGTGCAGTAGGGGTCTGCCTGTTGTCGCCCTCCCCGTCGTACGATCCCCCGCCACTATCGACAGTCGTGGACAACTGCCCGACCAAAAAGTGTTGCTTTTGAAGCAACTTGCGGTGTTCCTTGATGCTGCTCGTCGTCGTTTCTTCGAAAAACGTCCTCAGCTTGTAGGTTTCTCCGCGTGCGAAGCCCGGGAAAGCCTGCGTCCAAGCGGCCTCGGTGTCGAAGACCTTGGTGCATTCGGCCTTGAACTTGACCTGCCATTTCAGTCCAATATATTGAAGGAGAAGCGCGTCGAGTATGTCTGGATCGGTGTACCCCCGGTACTTCCCATTCAGGGCACGCCGCATTTCCAACGGCACGCCAGATCCCCACTTCCAGCTCTCAAGGTCCGCCAAGCGCATTGTGAGAACCGTGGCCAGCTCATCCAGCACAGTCGGATTCCGAGCGAACTCTTGCAAGGTGTTTCGCTTGTCTTCGGTCATGAGATTGTCGCCCAAGAGGGACTGAATCATCCAGCGCAAGTCGATCGAGGTGATAGTCTGGCGCTGGAGGTCGGTCTCGAACTCGGCCAGAGATCTCCGCATGGCTGCTAGCACCTCCGGGGCATCATCCCCTTCGAAAAGAGTGCCGAGGTATGCAGTAATCGCGTCCGTGTCCACAGACTTGCTCTCGAAGATGATGGACTGGAGCCGGTCTTGTTGTTCGCCCATTTCCTTTCTCCCCACGCGGACGAAGTCCTCGACAGACTCCCCCAGATCCGTGGGGATCGAAGAATCCCCGCTGTCCATCCACTCATTGAACAGGCCACCAAACAGCTTCGCGAACTCGAACCGGGTGGCGTTGTGACGGATGTGGGTTTCAAGCGTGTCGGCCCACTCCCGGACGATGTCTGCGCTGAAGCCGGGATCCTGGCGAGCCTGGAGCAGCCAGAGGTCCAGATTCGCCAAGTCCAGCTTCCCTGATATCATGGACTGCCGGTCGACGGCGCCTGAGCCATGCCACGATCTCACCCCTTCCAGGAGGAGTTCGACACGGCGGACCAGGTCGTCCCCACAATCGGAAGCCCGGCCGAGGATGGACAAGTGAGACGCATACGCGAGGCGCTGCTTCTCGAGCTCCTCGAGCTTGAGAGAGGTGATGTATTGCAGGGTCTTTCCAAACGAGGAGGACGGGGCGTGGCTGTCGGAAGATTCAGCGCTCAGAACACATTTCTGGGGCCCTTCTGACCTTTTTGTGCTGGTAGTGGGCATTGTTGGGCCCGGTTCTGCTTCGGGAGCGGGGCTTTATGTGGGCATGAACACATTTGACTCGTTATGATCATCAAAGTGGGGAGTTCGGAGCCGCGCAAAGGATGGACAGAACAGACGAACTGTTGGCGTTGACAGGTTCTACCTTCGTGGGCATGATCGTGTATAGAGTGCAGACATGGTTGTTCGAGGGCAACCGCCAGGGTAGTGACTATCAATCTAATCTAATCATAAATTCACGATGCACATGATCTCTTCGCGACTCTGACCTCCTCCCGCTGCCGATTCTCCATCTATTCAACGCGCATCCCTTCTCAAGCCTACTGATACATAGAAGCAACTGAAATCAAAGCCCACTCTCAGAAAATGAGCGACTCTGACTCTGAAGATGAACGACGCGATCCTCTTGGACATCTCATGCAACGACAAGACTCCATAGTCCCAAGCCAACCCCCGTCAATCATTCCCGGGGAGGAAGTGCACTTGTCTTACTCCGCAGGCGCATTGACCGTATCCATCGACCTCGCCCTCGACGCTTCTCCTGGCTGCGGCGGCATCGCCTGGCCTGCAGGAGAGGTGGGACACAATCCCTTTCCCCCCAGCCGATTGATCCCAATGCCGACCGCGGATTAGGTCCTCTCGCGATACCTGGTGCTCCGGGGCCCCGAGTTCGTGAAGGCGAAGAACGTTTTGGAGCTGGGGAGCGGGACGGGGCTGTGTGGGCTCGTCGCTGCAGCGATGGGCGGCAAAGTCGTGATCACCGACCAAGCGTTCGTCCCCTTTCGCGTTCTCGTTGTGTGCATCGAATCCGAGCGCCGTGCAGACCTCTGTTGCCGATCATGCGCGATAACATTGAGCTCAATCGACTCTCGGCGGCGTGCAAAGTCGTGGAACTCAATTGGTGCGTTTCCGGGATCCGCGTCTCGGGTACCACGGTTCACAAGGATATTTACGCACATCGTTTTGCAGGGGAGAGCCAATACCCGAGGACATTCCCACACCCGACATCGTTCTCGCAGCGGACTGCGTCTATATCGAATCTGCGTTCCCGCTTCTGGTCCAGACGCTGTCGGACCTGGTGGCGAACGGCGACACCCAAGTTTTGTTCTGTTACAAGAAACGAAGGAAGGTTAGGATCTCGCTTCACTCAGCATTCCATGCGGCTGATCTCTGTGTCAGGCGGACAAGCGTTTCTTTGCACTCCTGAAGAAGCAATTTCGCTGGGTTGATGTATGGACACGGTTCAATTATGTTTCCTTCAGATTCAGCTGACACGCATCACAGGTTGAAGACGATCCTGGTCGATCAACTTACACTCGGGAGGCCATCTCGCTCTTGCGGTTGTATAAGATATAAGCCGCGGGATCTCTGTTGCGGAGCCGCTGCTGAAGGTAAAAATACATGTTAGTATGTGTACTGGTCCGTCGAGACAAATCGTGTCGATGGAGTGTGCCGAGGCTCCTTCTGAGTCCTGCTACAGATCCCTGGCATTCAAGGAAGATGCTAGAGGTGGTACTTACCAAGCCCGCTAATCGCAACTAAGCTGTCTGCTTGGATTGATCCTGTCACAGTCTGATCAAGCGTCTTGACGGATTCCTATGTGCTCGCTGGTTTCATTCCAGCCAAGATTCACATTTACAAAAACTTTGCTAGCGTTATGGACTCGACTCGGAGTTAAACGCGGTTAAACGCGTCTAGAACGTGTCTTTGATGTTCGCACGAAAAATGAAATCTGGCCAGGTCATGGTCGAAATTTGTGCCACGTGGGGTCAAGGCAAGTTGTCAAGGAAGTGCCTGGTAACGGGTAAATCCGGCGCTTCTCCAGCGCTGTGGTCCGCATTGCACCGGAAGTACGCAACAAGATTCTGTCGGAGAAATGTCGGAGCAGCCAATAGTTGCCGATGGTGCTTGAGGAGGCTGAGGCTCGAGACTCTGCATGTTCTGGGATGTTCTGGCCATGTAATTGTCGGAAGAGAGACTGATGGAGACTGTGCCTTGTTGTCAAGCTTGGGCCACGCGTAACGCGTTGTTATGGGCTCGGAACCTAATTGCCAAAATGCCTGTCAGGAGTATTGATGAATCAGATACAATCTATCATCGCAACCTATCTGAGCAGTGGACAGGCAGATCAGAACGTATTCTAGCTTGCTTGCACTGTTCACAACTGTGTTGCTCCCAAGGAAGAGGTAGATGCGGGCGTCTGCGATGATTGATGCTACTGTCTGCTCAAGTACATTGTATAAGAACGGCGTATGGAGATTGATTCCGCAGCCCAACGTGGATTCGGCTGATGCCAACATGAGGTATTCTGGAACGAGCACGGCATTCGGAATCAATAAAAGGCTCGGCTCGGGCTTGGAAGATGTATAAAAAGCCAAACCGCGTTGGCAAATTCTCATCCCTTCTTCCTCTACTCCCAGTTTCTTGGCCCGGTCGCCTTCTTTGTCGTCGTACGCTCCAGCAGCCCAACACCTTCTTTGCAGCAACACTTTCATTTTTTCCAAATCCCACACCATGTTCATCAAGGCTTTCATTGTCGCCGCCGCTGTTGCGTCTGTCCAGGCTCGGTGAGGCGCTTTCTGTGCAGATCAACAGTCCTCGTGGCTTACATCGATCTGCTAGTTTCGGAGAGGAGCACCCTGCTGTTATCCAGCAGATCGCCAGTCTTCAGGCCGGTGCGCCTGGTGTCGCAGCCACCCTCGCGGGAGGCTCCATCTCCAACCTGCTTGCCGCGTCCAACCCCTGTGACAAGCTCACGACCGCTGACAAGATGATCGCGGCCCTCGGAAACGGCTCGGACGTCCTGACCCTCGTCCGGACCTTCGTTGCCGCTGAGCAGAGTCAGCGAACTGCTTCTTCTCGAGCTGGAGGGTCTGAATTGACCTTGCTCGACAGACTTCAACCCGTTCGCCACCGACCGCCCCACGTTCTGCAGTGACCCCACCCTGCCCGCGACCGCGGAGCTCCGTGGTGTCATTCCCCTCGTCGACCCGGCAGTCGCCGGTGCGGCCGCGGAGAACACTGCGTCCGCCGCGTCCATCACGACCCCGCTCAACGCTGCCGGCCTTTCCGTCGCGCAAGTGATCGCCAACTCGGGCTTCACGACTTTCAACACCAAGGATGCTGCCGGTACCGCCGGATCCACCGGTGCCCAGCTTGCTGGAGGTGCCGCTGCCGCTGCCCCCGCTAACGGTGCCGCGGCTGCGACCACCGCTGCTGCTGCTGCTGCCACCACGGCGGCTGCGGCTGCGGCTACCGATGCGGCCTGCCCTGCCCCGGTCACCGTCACCGTCACCGCTGTGCGTCCTGTCTATCCTTGAGGTCTGAGGAGCATCGCGCTAACCGTTTTTTCAGGCGGCTGCCAAGCGCACTCTGCCCACGCGCCGCAACATCGCTGGTGTTAAGCGTCGCTCTGCGCGTATCCTCTAGATCGAGGATATCGCTTTCTTTCTGGATCAACCCTTTTTCATTTGTTGTCGCACTGCATAGATAGGCTGAAGAGAATACGACGTTCTTTGAAGGGACAAAAAACCGCGTGTGATGTGAGGCTAAGGTGCAATTCCTCAGAGCGATATGCGCGAAGAGACTTGACGCGTTGTTCCGAATCGATTCGCCCCGACTACCCAACGGAGCATTTTAATACCAGCGCTTATGTCGATGGGATGGGAGTTGCAAATCTGATCACTACCGATTCTTAGCACCTCTCGCTGCTGATATGGTGGGGGACATCACTTCGTGACAAGTGATTCCATCAATCCTCGCCGTGCATATAGTGACCCTCAGTCAACATGAATTTTCTTCAAACCTTGTAAATAGATAGCTATTGAGATGTACTTTCAATCCCATGGATTATATTTTCAAAATTATGACCTGGCAAAATTTGGCCTCAGATTTGGCCGTCCCAAAAAAGAAATTGCGTGATCGCTGTGCTCGGCAGTGACCAAGGCCCTTCTGGGATCTTCCGAAACTCATTCCACTACCATGGCACCCCAAAAGAGAGGCACCCGCCGTGCCCAAGATACTGCCGGACACTTCACACATTAACACACCGCCCTCCAATTACCTATAAAAGGTCGAGTCTTGGGCGCGAATTTGGCCATTTAGCCGAGAACTTTTTCCCACGATCTAAAACTTCGGATTCGGCCCACTCTTGGGTATTTTATGAAGATCTGGCTAGGTTTCGGCCTATATCCTATCTCTGGGCGGGCGAGGACCTTTTCAAGTTTTTTCAAGATAGAAAACAAGAGGGAAAGAGGAGAGATTAGCAAGTTTATCAGAGTCCATAGACCTTATTACATACCTAATTTCAGTGCTCTGAGCATCTCCACCCAGCCGTTTCGCTCTTGAAAATGTGATCCCGTGTAGCCGATGGGATTTCAAGCCTGAGACCAATTTGGGCACCGTCCCGATTTGGCTTCAGGCTCCAGCCACTCATAATCAAGATGGCACGTGTCTCGTGTTCTCGACCGCGGTCCGTGTGACTTTCTGTGACATTGCTACTCTCGACACCCACTGCGACTCCCGCCGAATCCTGCTATGTTCACGAAATGGATCCTTCAGTTTCTTGAACTCTTTCATCCACGCAGGCACGACTTTTGAAATGGGTCCATACTGTGGCACCACCTGCACCATGCTTCCTGCTCTACTTCTGCACCTTTGACACTGTGTCTCTGCGCACCTCCAACGTCACGGCTGCATCTCTGATTGGTCCCGACACACTTCCTCCTGCTTTTGCAGTGCCCTCGGGGCCTCGGTATCTGGTCGGCAATCTTACTGACCGAATTTGATGCACTCGAGTGTGCACGCAGTACAAGCAAGTACATCAAGCTTGACTGCTCGTGGCTCACGTCACCCCTCCGCCGTCTGCGTACTGAACCAACGCACTTCATCAGGGTAGCGGTGTTGGTAGACCAGTTTGCTCTGGGCCATCGGCCATTTTCTCAGGCTCGTGTTAGCACAATTATTTACCTCGTCGATGGAGATGCCTTTTTATAATGTTATTCAGTTATTTACAAAATATGTTCCACTAAGTATTAAGCAGAATCATCATGAATTTCATTGTCATGTACATAGATGCTTCCAGATTGCTTTCTCGGAAATTCGCACTCGTTTATTTGCCGGAACATCTGGGTGGGTCGGAATACGGTTGCAGTGTTTCCGATTCGCATCCTGCGCACAACACGTGTATCAGGTCCACGTAATACATATTATGAAGCCATCAGTCGCATCAACCCGTTCCGACAGATCCCGAAGTCCTATATCCATACCGGGAATGGGATCCGCCCAGACACCAATCAAGAGCCTAGGTTTCGACCCGAAATTCCCAAAATTGCGATGTGACATCAAGTCATGTCCCCCACCATACGTCTTGATTGAGATTTCATCCCACGGTCATACCGACAATCAATAAGTACTTACTCACGGGTCCGTTGCATATCCTTTCTCCTTACGCTCGGTCGTCCGCCCACTCTTTGGACCTCGGTGTTTGTCAGGAATCTTCCTGCCGGATCAGTTACGATACCAAGCAACCAAACGATCCACAAAGAAACCTTGTGCAATGCACAGTCCACTCACTCACCGTATATGTTCCTTGCCTTCGATGCTCCTCCTCCTGCTCTTCGCAACACTCTCTGCCGCGCAGACCCGCCAGACACTCTCCTTGAATGCAGTCGCAAATGAGCGGTCTCCCAATCCGCCGTTTTTCACCATCCCGGCGGCACCACAGCTGGCCATCTCTGTCACATTATGTGCCTCGACGACCAACGCAGCGCTACCGCGATTTTTCCTCGCCAATAGCTCTTCCACTGCCAGTCCGGACTCCAGTGGTGGCGTAGACGTGTTCGAGATCCCATTAGACCGAGGGTATGGGCAATGGACGGGGCCGTTTCCTCAGGGTGGAGTTGTTGGGGTGGAGAATGCAGGAAATGTACCGTTCCAAATCGGTGTGTCGGCGGGGGACGCACCTATGCATGAAGTCCTAGCGGACCCTCCGCTCTTCGGAGACTCGACCGCGACTCAGGCGATACTCTTCTCCCCGTCATTCGCGTCCTTTGACTTTGTGGATCCGACGTATCCCAACTACACTCTTTCGATGGAGAATTTGACGCCACCCGCTCCGCCTCCGAACCCACCCAACTTCAGGCTGATTATCACGCCAACGAGCGATGCGCTCTCGGCATTGCAGCAAACATCTTGCGCGCTCTCTTCCCTAAAATCGAGCGGCACGGTTGCTAATCAGACTCTGTGGTCGAGGGACACCAACGCATGGCGGTCACAATGGATGATGACAGGGCTGGCTGCGTCGACGAACTACACAGTCTTCGTGATCCAGGACTCGTTCAAAGTCACCCGGTCGATATATTTCACAACAAAGTCATGTACGAAGCCATTCTCCTGTGCATTCCAACGCTGACTCGTCCCAAGCCTCGTTCTCGTGCCCGCTCGTCTCTAACCTACCATATTGTCCATCAATATCATACGCCGTCCCGCTGCCTGCACTGCCATCCTCCCAGCTGGCCTACAATGCCACCAACCTTCCGACGTCGATATCGGCCCCCCTGTTGTCATCACTCACCAACTTCACGACGACGCTCACCACCTTCGCCTGTGGACGCGACTTCTACTCCCCGCTGGTGACATGCGCCGACTGCCAGCGCGCGTACCGAACCTGGCTCTGCGCCATCTCGTTCCCGCGCTGCGCCGACCCCGCCGCAGCTCCGCCGTCCGCCGCACTGCTGCAGGCGCAAGCGCCCGATGCGCGGAACGCGGCGTTTCCGCCTGGGAGCAACTACACGCAGCTGCTGCCGTGTCTGGAGACGTGCACTGCCGTCGACCGCGCGTGCCCGCATTTCCTGGGCTTCAAGTGTCCGGTGCCGCGGTTCAATGCGGCGGCCAGCTACGGGGTCGGTTACATCGACAGCCCGGCCCCAGGCGTCCAGGGCCAGGGACTCACTGGCGCGTGGTCAGATGACTTTGGGAATGTGTGGTGCGCGGGGAGCCCATGACCCTACGGACATGCTGTTTTCTAGCTTATGTATCACTATCTAAGGCGACTGTACAATTTGTTGTGAGCTGGGGCCTCAGGAATAGAAACCAGAGTCGCGCAGATGCTGCTGGTGCTCTCCACGGTGGGCGCGGACGCGTTTGTCGACACCCATCCGCCAGATGGGTGCGATGATCTGCGCATGATGTCAAGAGCTGGCGAAGATAGTACGTCGTATGAACGCACCCCGGCAAGACAGTCGTATATGGGATCTAGGAGCAGATTGTTGCGAGGCGTCACACCTCTCGTGGACGCCCGAAACAGGTCTGTAATCATGTCTGCTGTGATGTGAGTGTGTCCTCGTTGCACTCCTGGGGAGAGTGAGTCCTACGCCGAGGAGGCTCGACCCAATCAAACATTACCTTGGAGCAGGGCTTGGGCGGCAACTTCCGCTGTGATTCCTTCATCTGTGCTCTCGATATCCAGCGTTAGTTTTGGTTTGCTCAGGTTTTCCGTCTCGTATCCTGGGGTATACATTGTCGGCGGGAAGAAGATATGCACGTCGATGTCATACAGCATGAACTCTGACTGGAGCGTGTCGGCCAATCCTACGAATAGAATTCAGCTAGGTGACGACAGGTATGGGTTATAGGCACATACCACGAAGAGCGTGTTTCGCAGGTGAGTATGAGGAGTAGCCGACGAAGGACATATATCCCAAGGTCGACGACACCATGGTAATTTTGCCCTTGGCTTTCGCGCGAACCATCGCTTTGGCTGCAGCCTGCTAGCGTTTAGATCGGGAAAGAACAGAAGAACGGAATAGAGGGCACCAGAACAGTCCAGGCTTGAACCCAGTATCCTTGCACCATGCCATTGCTGAGATCATCTTCCGTCATGTCCACGAAGAACATCGGTTTCGAGCCACCAGCACAGGTGAACACGGCGTCTGGGGGCGCCCCACTGAATGGTTTGCATGCCGCTTCGAGAGCAGCGGCAGATTCGGTTGCACTGGCTAACGAATACGAGTACGCGGCGAAGAGTTGATTGGGGTGTTGTCTGTGTTCCTGAACTCGGCCAAGGATTCGATGGTCGTTCGCGCGAAGTCGGATAAGAAGCGCCGCGCACCTCGAGATCTTTCAGGGCTTTGTCGAGTTTTTCCTGTGAACGGGCAACAATAGAGATGTGCGCCCCCTTCCCTGCGAGGAGCAGCGCAAGTGAAAGCCCGAGACCTTGGCTTCCCCCCGTGATGTAGACGTGCTGCACGCGTATCCAGTTTCATTTACTACCAGCACCAACGCGAGCATACATACCTTCCCGTCTGGATTCCATCCCTTGCTGAACCACATGGTAGCCTTCAGTACAGAGCAGTTGATGGTCCAGCAAGCACCCGAATGCGAACACGTGATCTCACGCGAACGCTCGAATGAGCGCGGCGCGTATCACTTCCTGATCCCGGTTTTGAGGCCTAGCTCAGCATTTCCCGAAATGAGAATCCGACAGAATTGATGCTCATATCTGAAATACAGGAACAAGAGTGAATGTGATTGTATTGAAGAACGGAGTCTGGGGCCAAGCGTGCGACTATTCTGCGGCACTTGCCGGGGCTCTTTCTGATTAACTAATCCACCCAAGTTACTCAGACTCAGCTTTCACCTCCATTCACCGGATCGTCTTCCAATATGGTTGCACGACACAGGAATTTCCAGAATATGGATTATGATAGTAAATGGAACTCCACAACACCCCAAACTATTCGTCATTCACTGCTCCAGATGACTTGGACGACGACGCACTGTCAGACGGGGGGATGACTACATCTCACCAGAGGATCAAGGTTACCGCCGTTTCCTACTTATTCTCCTGAAAACTGAATGACAGCCCTGCTCTAGCTCTGCTCAATGATGGGTTGGATCGTGTTCGAGATACGATAGGCAACTTGGCTCAATCTGGACTCACGGATGCCTGGATCAAGGATGTCTTATGGGACTGCAATTTTGAAGTGGAGGAGACAGTCCATTTTGCTATTGGTGTGTTTCCCTCCTTCCTGTTTGTTCATCAGCGGATCTCACCCGCGAACAGAGGAGATCGAAAAGAACCGGCTTGCCCAGGAACGTAAAGGTGAGCTTTTGGACTTCCTTTAGTAGTGTACAAATCCTTCTTCGTCGGTGTGCCCCGATTGCGCGCGTTTTATGGGGAGAGATGTTGTGCGAGATGGAGACGAGAGCAATGAGAAGGTGCACGTCTGTCGATCAACCTCGTTCGATGTACCCTCGGTCTCCTCCTGCACGTATTCCCAACTTACGTGATCCTGGCAGCCAGTATGAAAGACCTCCCCCCGCTTCCTCCGGGAGAGAACGACGAGACAACTTCGCGCGAACTCGGCTACGGTGAATACTCGCCACCTGTGTTCAATCAGCGCGGCTCCATCGAAGAAGAGACAACCCCGCGCGAGCGCCGAACGAACCTTCCTCTCATCGTTCTTGCTCAGCAGAAATACGGAGGTGGAGGTGTGATCGAGGAGGAGGAGGAACATTCAAGCGGTCCAGTGAAGCGTATCCTGAGCACGATCAGCGAGAAGACGGAACGGACCGAGGTCTTGTCCCCATTGTGGGCACCGGGTAACATCGACCACCCGCGTCTCTCTCTACACACGCTCAATCGGGTTTCGAGCTCGGTGGCTACGTCATATGGGGAGGCCGTGGGTGCGCTCACTCCTTGTCCTTATCTCAATTGCACGCTGATTTCTTACCTGCTAGATCCTGAGGAGACGACATTTGGCTCATTGGACCCCGATCTCATCCCTCCGTCGCCTTCTGGATCAGCGCTGCACAGGTTATCAATATACGAACCTGCCCCATCGTTGCCACCGTCTGAGGCAGACAGTATGGAAAGCTCTGCTCTCTTTGGCTCCCGTCGACATGCTCCCAGTGAGCCGGTTCCTCCCTTGGATACCATCCCGGATATTCCAGACATGAATTCCAAGTCTAGTCGGCCAGTGACGGTTAGTGCGTCACAGCCAGCAAAGAAGTCGAAGCTAGCGCAATTGGCGAGCAGTCGGGCATCTTCCTCGAAGAGCGCCAGGTCTGAGAGCTCTCATACAAGCACGCCGGAAGACGTGGAGTCTGTTAAGACGTATCCCAATCTTCGACCAACTTCGCAGTCTATTCGGCCACTCAGCACGGCTTTGACCACTTCTTCAAGCATGTCAGCACACGTTCGACGGGCTATTGCCACTGCGCTTGAATTTGAGGCGGTCGAGCAGGAGGATGGGGCCACCGTGAAATCGGCTGTAACAGCTAAATCTGGTGCTACCGGCAAGTCTGGTACCTCGGTCAAGTCCTCTGCAACAGCCAAAAGTGGCTCTACCATCCGGCCTGTTCCACCGCCTGCGCCGATTGCATCGAATAGCAGCAGCCCGTCCCAAAAGCCGCAGTCAAAGCTGGCTCTTCTCGCACAAGCAAACAAGGCTGCTCGTGCTGCTGCTACTGCTGGGAAGCATCAAATCGTGCCGACGACCCAGCCGACCTGGAAAGGACCTGTCTTGCCGGAGGAGCACACCGAATACCTCACACCTATCGCCAACGGCTCGAGTGTTACGACGGCCATCACCACATCGTATCAATCTCTGTACTCCCTGACAGACCCGGCGCGCCAGCCCATGACGAAGGCGCCGTTCGTTGCGCCTCTGCCCAATCCAGGGACAGAGATTCCCAAACCCTCTAAATTGGCTATGAAGATGAAAAAGAACCAAGAGAAACCCGTCCCCCAACCGGCTATCGCCGAACCGCCGCCTCCCCCTGTCTCGCCCATCTTCTCGCCCAAGCGCACCCGATCACACGGGACTCCCTCGGCATTCGGAGCACTGCTTGTTGATGAGCAAGAGCCAGCGAAGCGCAGAAGCAAGGCCAAAACCAGATCTGGCCCGCGACACACTGCCCAGAAGATACCTGATCTCTTTGCGTTGGCTGGGGACGTCTCGGCTTTTGATGGCCCGAGTCCGGACGACATCGTGCTCAATGCTCGGCGCGACACGTCTCTGGCGAAGAAAGGCAGCGCAATCGGTGGCACACCTGCGAAACTCGCTGCTTCGAAAGCTTGACTCGTTTCTTCTTAATTGTTGTTGTTTTACGGAGTGCTAATCTATTTGTTGTGCGAACGATAGACGCGAAAGAGCGCGAGAAAGCGCAGAAGCAGGCGGCTGCGGCGGCTCGACCTGCACCCGCGACTCCAGGCAAGAAAACACTTGCGACCAAGGCGAACGCGCGTCCGACTGCGAGTGGTTCTTCAACCCCCAAATCCAAAGCTCCAGTCGATCAGAGGGAACTCGATCTGTCTGGGCTGAACTTACTAACGAAAGAGGAGTACAAGACAGAGCCGGCGCCGAAAGTAAGCTTTGCTCGTGACAAGCTATTGGAGCAAGCCGCCCTGGCGATCGAGGAGCAAGAAAAAGGCAAGAAGGCGCTGAGCCTGGTTGTCATCGGTGCGATTTTGTCTGTGGACTGGCTCTCGTGTTGACTTTGTATTGCCTAGGCCACGTGGATGCTGGCAAATCGACCCTGATGGGACGGCTGTTGTATGAAAGTGGGAAGATGGACGAGAAGACCAAGACGGCCAACGAACGTAATAGTGGCAAGGCAGGCAAGAGCAGTTTCAGCTGGGCATGGGGACTAGATGGCACGACAGAGGAACGAGAAAGGTGCGTGCCGTGGCTTTAGATCGCCGGGTGTTCCTGATGTCAAGCAGGGGAATCACTATGGACATCGCCGTCCAATCCTTCTCCACACCACATCGGCAAATCACTGTGCTTGATGCTCCGGGCCACAAAGAGTTCGTGCCCAATATGATATCCGGCGCCGCGCAGGCCGACTGCGCACTACTGGTCGTCGACGCGTCCACAGGGGAATTCGAGGCCGGTTTTGAGCGAGGCGGACAGACGCGCGAGCATCTGATTCTTGCTCGCAGCCTTGGTGTCGCCCAAGTCACCGTGGCTGTGAACAAGCTCGACCAGGTCGAATGGTCTCGTGATCGGTTCGAGGAGATCTGTGGCATCCTCAAGCCGTTTTTGGTGCAGTCGGGCTTCCACCCGTCCAAGACGAGTTTTGTGCCCGTGGCTGCGATGATGGGCGTGAATCTGGTCACATGCGACCAGAAGGAAGCGCAAGGGTTGATCCAATGGTACAAAGGCCCGACGCTGTTTGATCTGCTCGGTGAGTGGGTTGTACGAGGCTGTCCTTCATTTTTTCTAGATAGATCGCAGACAAACTGGAACCTCCAAAACGGGATCTGACTACGCCTGTGCGGATTCCCGTTGCGAATATTTTCAAGGGCCAGGGATCCGGCATCTCGGTGTCCGGCCGGCTGCTGAGCGGTGTCGTTCAAGTGGGTGAGCGCTTGCGTATCATGCCGGGTGACGAGTCGGGCGTCATCAAAAGTACGGGCATGTTCCGTGTCCCGAGAGTCGTGGAATTCATGTTCTGCAGCGATACAGGTCGAGGAGGAAACCGTGCCTTGGGCTGTCGCAGGGTCCAATGTGACGCTGGCGCTGGTCAATGTGGATCCAATCCATTTGACAATCGGGAGTGTTCTCTGCCCGCCGACCGATCCCATCCCGCTGGCCACGACGTTTACGGCGAAAGTGATCATCTTCGATATCACGGTCCCGATCATCACCGGGGCGATGGTGGAGCTGTTCCACCACTCACACGATGTTCCTGCGACAGTCTCCAAGCTCATTGCCACGCTGGACAGGGTCTCGGGCAAGGTGATCAAGGCGGGGCCTCGGTATGTGTTACTTTTCTTGTTTTGTTGTTGTCATTGTGAATAATGATTTTGCAGGGTGTTGAGCAAAACATCGTCTGCGGAAGTCCAGATTACTCTGCGAGCACCGGCGCGCCCCATCCCGCTCGAGCCCTATGCCGTCAATAAGGCAATGGGTCGGATCCTTATCCGGCGGGAAGCAGAGACGATTGCAGCTGGTAGGCCATACTCTTGTGCGTAATCGAACAGCGTTGAATCTCGTCCCTAGGTGTTGTTGTTGACATCCTGGGCTGAATATTATCGATCATTTATGCAGATCTTATGCCTCACAATATCTAATCTTCTTCACACGAGTACGGGGCTTCACTCTCAGCAGTTATCCATCCAGAGTGTAGCAAGTATAGAAGACGACATGTAGTACTAGCCATAAACAAAACAGAAATCACTTTTTCTCCTCCTTGTCCTTATCCGAGAACAGACCCTTCAACTTGCCGAAGATCGAGTGCCGCTTTTTTCGGGCGCTGGCTGTCGTACCGAATTTGCCGGATCCCGACGGTGAGGAGGACACCGAGCTCGGGCTCCCAGCCGCAGGGAACGCGTGGTTCTTCTTCGCAGGCGTCGTCGGTGTGCTCGCCTGGGTCGCTTGAGGCGATGGAGTGCCCGTTTTGGGTGTCGAGGGGGCCGCAGGGGAGGCCGCCGGCGCGGTTGTTTCTGTCACGGGCGCTGCGGTCGTCGTCGGCGTAGTTGTCGGCTCGGGGATCGCCTGTGTAGCCTCTGGCACTAGTGGTTCGGCAGCCATGAGCTCCGGTTCGTTCGTAACAACGCCGTTTGCCGGGGAGGCAGGCACAGCGGTCGTGATCGGCTCGGCGGCAGCGGGCGCGGCGGCAGTCTCGGGAATGCTGTCTGCGGTAGAGGCAGGAACAGCAGTGGTGATTGGCTCGGTCGCAGGCGTCGATCCAGCCACGGGCTCGGCTGCAAGGGGTTTGACGTCCCGAACGGCTGCCTCTTCCGTCACAATCGGCTCAGGGATCACCGGTGTGACCTCTGGTGCTGCGTGTTCGGACGAGCCATTTGGTGTGGATGCAGGGACAGCGGTCGTAATCGGCTCCTCCGCCGCAGACGTAGCGGGGGCGACCTCGTCTGAGGGCAACTTGACCTCGCCGTTTTCTTCTACAGGAAGCTAGACCGGCGCATAAACTTAGATGCAGTCGAAATGGAGTACAGTGCTCTTTGCACATACCTTGGCCGCGTTTATAGGATCCACTCCCGTGTGGGTCTCAATCACCGCGCCCAGCGCCGACGCAATGTAGCCTAACGCAGAGGACGTGCCCTCCTGGGCCGTGAGCGTGTCCACCACATCCGCAATCGTTGTCGTCGTCGTCGGGGCGGCAGCGGCGGCATCTCCGTTCTCCGCCGCTCCCGCCGGCCCTGCGCCGACAGGCTCAGGCTCCGACTTCAGCGCTGATGCGACCACGGGCTGCGTGGCCGGCACTGCGGCGGGCTTTGCAGGTGCAACATAGACATTGTTGACGTTGCCCGACGCATCCGCCTCCGTCGGTGCTGCCGCGTCACACACCCACTGCGAGTCGACGACAAACTTGAACAGGATGCGCTCGCCCCATGGGACCCGCGTGGACCCGGTGAAGCCGCCCGCGCCCGTGTCCTTGGTGAGGTGCAGCGAGGAGGACCACTGGTCGAACGTGCCGGTCACTAGCGAGCGAGAAGTCGAAGAGGAAGGATACGTGGAAGATTAGATTTGGCTTGCTGATGGGGAGTAGCATAGGAGCGTACCGATGACGGAGGCGGGTTCCGTGGAAGGCCAAGTGAAATGCACCACATGCGAATCGTCGACCATAGCCTACAATTGTGGAATGGAACAAAAAAAGTTCAACGGCACGATTTCCACGGCTTGTCGAACAGCAAGTTTCGCCGAAGCTCCGCTCGACCAACCAGCGCTCGACGCGATCACGTGGTATGACGGATTTCCATTTCGCACGATCGGAAACAGTGTTTGATTGGTAGGAAGGCAGGTTGGGTACAAGATACTGCTACGAGATAATGCTGATGACATGACATGACAGGATAGCGACGATAACAAGCAGGACGATCATCTCAGGAGCGACACTACACTTCAAGTGTCTCTGTGTCGGAAAGGATATGGGGACGGAAGCCGTCCGAGCGTCTCGGCTTTAACATATCGGATTGGCCCAAATCTGCAGCCAAGCGCTTGAGAACCAGGATTCGAAGGAGACAAAGACGGAACGGAACGCACATGTCGGACGTCGGAGACCGCGATCTTCGATGAACACATTGTGCGAAAGACGTCGGCGCAGCTGCGACTACGTCGCGCTGCGTTGCGTTGCGTTGTTTGAGTTGTGAGGGATGGAGAGGGGAGTCCGGGGCAAGTGATGACGAGGGGTTAATAAAAAATCTCGGCCGCTCAACACGGGAATCGCCAGACACCAGGCAGATTCACCGAACGCTCAACACCAGCACCTCAGCCGACTCCGACGTCGGCACCAGCCCGCAGAACCGCGTCGCGCCCAACAGGGCGTCGACACGACGCGGGTATGCGCTCAGATCATGCGGTGTGAGATAGGCGCAGCGCCAGCGGCGAGCGCCCTCGATGTCGTCCGCTGTCAGGTGGGACTGGAGGTCTCGTGGTTGCAGCGGACGTTGGAGATCAGCATATACCTGGCTCAGAACATCTCCGACGGTGACATAGCCCTTGTGCTTAGGCCTCACGACCTGGATGTACGACGCGAGGCCGGGGACGTGAATGAGCAGACACGGCAGCCCAGATGGGTTCGCGGAGGTGGCGGCGGGCTGCGAGAGCACAGTCGAGCTAACGTTCAGCGGAACAGTTGCAGGGTCGACGGCGACGTTGAAGCCTAGGCCCGCGCCCGTCTCCTCGGAGAGGACGGGGTTGATCGAGGCAGAGAAGGCGGGCAGGGGTGTGGACGCGTAGAGCGAGCGCGTGTGTTGGAGGGGAGGGGGAGTCACGTCATATGCTAACGGAGATGACGGATATTGGACCGTCGCCGGGGAAGAGTACCCGGCGTAGGGGCTGGTTGATTGGTTGTGGTATACTGTCCGGCCAGGCATCGCGTCGTCGGTGGGTAGATAATACTGGTGGATGGGAGGAGGCGATGGATTGGAGGCGAAGGGTGCACGTAGGATATGCACAAGGACAGTTGTCGGATGAAGACATCTCGAGGGAGGTTATATACAATGGTGTCTGATTGTGAATCGCAGCCGCGATTCCGGGGCAAGTCCGTCACGGGTGTCAAATCGAGTCAATTACGCGTTACATCTGGGTCACAGAGTCACGCCCATTTCCATATTAGATCCATTACGCACTCCCTGTTTTGCCGGTGTGGGCGCTACGTGTAGCTCAGTTGTTTCTTGTTTCTGGGTCCATTTCCCGTCATTGCGGCGCAGCAGGTGCTTTCAGCCCCGCAGCTCAGCTGCGCAGCGCAGTGACCTCAACGGTCACGCACGACACCGATCGAGTCATCCGACGTGGCTGATGTCATCTGGAAACGTGTTCTGGAAATCCGCCAGTGGCAGTGGATGGGCTGTGGACGAGAGGAATCTCTGCGAATGTTCCAGTACTTTCTTTTCAGAATACACTGCCAGGTTTACTACAGAGGATCTTAATTATAAAATGTGTGCATAGATAGAATACTCGGTAACAACGCGACAGATAAACACACGGTCATACATCACCTCCTCCGGAAATGGCTGCCGCAAAGGCATCGGCAACACTCTGGCATTGCAGGAAAATATCGATCTGCGTTTGGCCGGTGTAGAACCATGCAGTCAAGGCCTTGAACGTGTTGGATCAGAAAACAAACGTTCCGCAGCAAAGCTTCAGTGCGACTCACAATCATCGCTGCAGGACAGGTCAGTTGGTCTGGAATGCTGCAAGCGAGTTCGGGAAAAGACATACCATAGAAGGACAGCATAGCCACACCCTCCGCCCAGTTAGTCTTGGAGTCTGCGGTCACGTAGTTGACCACGAAACACGAACTGATAACGAGTGCCACTTCGAAGATATCTGTCCTGCGGTCAGCAGCGGTCGCAGCCCTTATCGCGCCACAGAACGCACCGAACAGCAAGAATAAGGGCCGGCCCGTCCACCATCCCAGAAGAACAATGAACGGCATCCAAAACAAGATGAATTGGATACTGAGATCGATCGGACGAGCACTGGCCAACGTTCCCTGCGCCACACTGAGAATCACTGGGACTCGCAACAGATCATACGGCTCGTACCGGAGGCGATGGCATCCCACGGAGATGCCGGATCCAGCTTCGGACGAAGAACAGGATGGCCAGGAATCCATCTCCCGAAAACGAGACCAACGGAAGGAGAATCAGGCCAAACCATCTGTGCACTCTCAGCAGGCGAAATGATACATCCGGTACTAGCTGGCACTTACTCTCTTTGTATGGAATGCCCGTGTCCAATGAAGTCGATGCTATCAACAAGCTGCGGGCTGAGATCAGATTAGCCAGTCGAGCAGAACGATTAGTCAAATACCCATTCTGCGGTCGCAGCCATGATGCCGATGGTGACCGCTAGCATGGCAATACAGACCCACTGACTGACTTCCGGATCCAGTTGCTCGAATTCGGCCGCCTTGTCTTTGAGAGCCTCGGGAGCGAGCCTGTGTTCAGCCAATTCCATGTGTTCTCCGGGAGGATTGTATAGGAAGATTCTCGAGCAGACATAACTGCCACGGCTCAGCTTCGTATGGAGGCTAGCGTCAGATGTCCAAGACTCACACAAGGAGGAGAAGAATGGCGATCCCTCGGCTCATCTGCAGGAAGATAACTCGGTTCTTCTCGATAAGAAACCCGTCGGTGAAGTTTGAACGCCCTTGCGTGGCAGCATCTGCCGGTGCGCCCGAAATGATGCCTTGGTCTAGCGCGGCGAAGAACGCGGCCGGGAGTAGCAAGGCCATGACACCGATCGTGAGCAGTGTCTGGTTGAGCTGAGTGAGATGCGGGTGCAGATCTTGTTCGATGATCCGGGCACCGCCGGTAACGAACGCCACTCCAGGAATAAGCAAGAGGTGGAGCAGAACAACCCCAATAATTGTTGATTGCAGCAATTTGAGCCTGACCGTGGCGAGTTAGCGGCGAACAGAATCGTTTCCAGCCGATCAGCAGCACATACTCGCATTTCTTGAGCAGAATTATGGCGAGGGTTCCTTCAACGACACTGAAGCACTATCAGAATCGATATTACGAGGAGGTGAGTAAGAGCTTACTTGTTCAACGTGACCACTAGCAATTCGCCGAGATCGGGTCCCACGTAGAAAGCCATTTGTTCACCACCTTACATCCATTGAACAAACGTGTTTCATCTGCTTGATGAAATCTGAGACGCACCATATTCGAATAGTTTCTCCAAGGGAATGATAGCCAGGAAACAAAACACAAATGTGACCGAGAACGGGAAGGTCCTCATCCTCATGTCAGATCAGAAGCCGCGGAAACAGGACAAGGCTCACTTCTCCGGCGGCGAATCGTGCTTATTGGCAAAGTGTGCGACCCACGCGATGGGGATGAAGAGGAGCAGAATATTCAGCCCTGCAAGAGGATCAACCAACTAATCGATTACCGATCGAGAGGGCAGGCACGCACACGACGAGAACACGAGCGCCTTGAGCGAGTCGACTACGCCGACCTTGGTCTTGCCCTTGCGGAAGAAGCGCTGGCCCATCCTGCTGTGCGTCCGGGAAAGCGGTTTCGGGGGCTTCTCGTTCGATCCACTCGTCTGCAGCTCCAGCCCCAGCTCCTCATCGGCCGGCCGCCCGTGTGATGTGCGCCGCAGCGTGCTCTCGGACATCGTGTGTTATGCGTTATGCGTTGTGCGTTGTGCTCCAAGCTTCTTGGGGGTGGGGACGGCCGGTGTATTAGGCTCTGATCCGGTCGTGGTGGCAGGGGCGTCGTCCAAGCTTTCTTGCACGGAAAGAATGCAGAGGCGAACGGAGGTCAAGAAGAGGCAGAAGAGGATGAAGAAGGGAGCGAGTCCGGGAAAGTAGAAAGATGAAGTGAGGATTGGTTAAGTAAAGGACTGTTAGCACCGGGCAGCCAGGTCTGGAGGTAATTCGCAAGCGAACTGTCTTGGCTGTGATATGTGGGAGAGCCAAGCTGTCCGAGCGGTGTTAACAAAGTCCCGTCGTGACTTTGGGCGCTCCGGGCGTCGATCATCCATCCCCTCCCCGGTATTCGGCCGTGAACCGGCTAGAGAGCGTAGGAGAGGTCGCGCAGCCGAGGAAAGGCTGCAGGCAAGAGTTCCTTGAAGCTGAACTGGATTGAATAGGATGGCATGTTTCCGCGGCCCGTGCGTGCTGTCATTCGATATTGTTCCGGATCCGATCATTGACAGAGGTGGTTCCTGGCTCAGGCGGCAGGCCACACCTTGACTTCAGCTTGGCCGCTCAAGACCAAGGAAGCCCAGGAAAGACGTTCAACACTCCACCGGCCAGCCAATTCGGCGACTCCACGGTGAGCTCACTGTACGGAGCAGGCTAAATCTCCGGGCGATCCGGCCTGTTCATCGCTTTGACCTCTGCTATATATATGCACTGGGCAGGGAGATTCTAATGTTCTCGCCTGGCTGGACGATGTGATGCTCCCGTTTCCAGATGACTTCTCGCATTGAATTGAATGACGATCCGCACGGAGCTGGCAAAGTTCACCCCTCCATCCTGGATTATCCTGCATCTAAGACAGGGCGCTTTGACCAACAACGCGCCAAAAGTCTCATTCTTGTAAACATTGACTCAGCTCGATTACTTGTGGTTTCGTAGAATACCTTACCTTGTGTCCCATAACCCGATTTGTCAGAATTACTTGTACGTAGAAGAAAGTTCTGAACCCCCGACCGTGCTTGCTCTATGTTTCGGCTAATCGCATTCGTGATTCTCGGGACAGAACTCCAACGCTGGTCTGGGGATACCATCTCTGCAATCTCTATCATCAAGCACATTGGCTCAGGGAGTCGCATAGCGACTCCTATTCGTCGTCACAAGCACTGCAGCACGTCTTTCCGCGTTGTAGGGAGCCAGTCGGATAAATGCCGTTTTCATATCCTCATGGAGAGGTGTGATCTCAACTCGCGGCGAGTCTACGAGTCTGCATAGTCCATTTTATCCTCACAAGGCGAGAGGACGTGGCGAATAATGAAAGAGGCAAGCGGCCTGGGCGGCTGTTTCGGGCCATGTCTATCAACACAAGGACTCGAAACCACGGGCAGCCCATGAAACTCACCGTCACTTTTGTGTGATAGACTTCCAGCACGTGCACCCTCTCATCCAACTCGGTTCTCTTGTCGCTGGCTGCGAGCCAGATGGTAGCATCGGTCAGAAACGCGAACGACGGCCCCAATGCCGGTTTTCTGATCTTTGGGTTGTTCTGTGCAGATCCTGAAACAAACGGTGTGAACGGCGTCGAGTTGTTCACCAGCTGCCGTGATTTGTATTCAAGACGGGTTCCTACGCGGGAGGAAGGAAACGCACAAACACAGCGATGGAATACGTCTGCGCGAGAGTCCGCAGTTGCCGGAGGAGGCCAGTCATGATCGCGTGTCCCTGAGACGACACTGGGCTCAAGAGGGGAAGAATTAAAGGCGTCAGTGAGTCGATGACGATAGCGCGGGTCCTGGTAGTGGAGATAGGATTTGGCTGGTATCAACGAGGGAGATGAGCATCCACAAAGGCCGGCTTAGACGACACGCACTTCGCTCAGAGACGATGCGAGCTCTGCAATAACCTGCTGGACGGCATCAACTTCGAAAGCATTGGACAGTTGCAGCCGAGATAGCGCGTCCTGGATCAGCCTTAGAAGAGAAGTGCAGGTTTAGTTCAGTTTCGTAGCACGCACCGGAGCATCAAAGCTCTTGGCCATCTCTTGTGCCCTGTGGGGCGAGAATTCACCAGTTGTGTCAATCCAGAGGATGCTGGAAGATGGTTCCGTGGATAGATGCCGGAGTACGAGGTGGAGCAAAAAGGACTTGTCATGTCCGTGAATCCCAGCCGTTGCAGCTTGACTCGACGCACTGTTTTTCCCGACCGCCTGTCCCCCGATATCTCAACGATTCGGCGAGTAAATGTCAATCCCTCCAAGACGCTGTCAACGTCCGGCAAGCCAGTCAAGAATCCAAATGCCAACTCCTCGGTTTCGTCCTCATCCTTCAACAGCATTTCGAGAGTCTTCCCAGGAGCAGATGCAAGCCCAGCAACGACGTCTTTGTACCGTGAGAGCTCTTGAAGCGTGATTGATTGAGCAGGGAGTGAACGGTAGATGTCGAGAATTGAACGGCCGAATAGCAGCTCGTTATCTGTTCGGATTCCGCATTGCTCCAGAATTGAGATGAGCGTCAGGGGAATATGGGGTTCGTAGGAAACCAGTCGCATGGGGGCGGGAGATGGAGGGGTGGGAGGGGGTTCACAATGACATCCGGCAACGTTGGCTTTCAGAGGGCAACCACGTGACCGTGCACTGACAGGCTCTGACCTCCGTGCGCGATGTTTGATTGGGTTGTATTCACATCTTTTATGGAAATGCTACAGAAGGTCCGACGCCTGATTTCTGTTCTCCGTGCCGTACGATTGAAGCGAAGCCCGATGGTTCTTGGCGACGCGCAGGAGCGTGAGGACGCCTCGATAAGCAAACTCTTGGAAATGGACAGCATGGAGGGAGCCACGAAGTTCCTTGTCGTCAGCTGTCGGCTGATCACCGCCAGTACAATCATCGACATCCATTATAGCACCAACCCAGTTGTCCTGTGTCTCTATAATCTGCCTATACCAGTCACGGAAGAATGGGGCCATGGCAAGGATAAACGGATTCTTTGTCTGGGACACAAGGAGTTCCCGTGGTCCACCCAGCTTACGCGGACCTACCACGGCTTCCCGAATATCGACATTGTGAGAGGCCAGATTAATCGCCCACTCGACCTCGATTTCCGAGTCTTTGTCAGCATGGCCTTGTATGAGCGCAGAAAGGCATGTCCAGAACGCAGACTCGTGGTCATCGACAGGGGATTGCAAATAGGGTGTGCCATCTTGAAGAGCCTCTCTGAGAGTTGTGGACATGAATCGGTGTGTGCCCTGAACAGTGTCAGACATGAAGTGACATGGATGCAAATGGAAAACATGCGCACCGAGAGAGTGCCTCGACTGTGGTCGTTTCGGAAGTACTCCTTCAGCTCGCATGCTTGATCGCCATCGATGATCATACCCTGGCACTCTGTCCCGATGTCCAGCTCGCCGACAGCCATGTGGACAGCGTGAGCCAGCTCAGCCAATTTATGCTTAGCGGGCTCGTTTCGGAGCGACAGCAGGAGACCGTCAAAGTCAGGAAGGAGACCGCCGGCAGCAAGGTCGAGGCGATCAAGACGGGATCCGAGGTCCGCAACAAACTCCGACTGCTTTTCAAAGACAGAGAAATCGGCAGACATGTCCCGCAGCACTCGTTCGATGACCGTGGTCGTGAATTTCGGTCGATGCAAGGGCGGATCCAACCGCAGCAGATTGACGATGCTGACATTCCGATGAAGGAAACCCGCCTGGAACAAGGAAAGCCAGCCTACCAACCAGTGAGTCAAAATATGCGGCCTGTAGTATAAACAGAACTTACCAAGCATCCCATGTACGACAGAGATAACTAGGTCCCATGGAGTCTTGCAGGTCTCGAGACGTTTTCCCTCGCCGGTTGTGATGTGCACACACATCGTCCGATGGTCGAGGAATTTCTCGGTTACATGAGAGCTCGCGTTTGGATACTGCCAGAGCCGATCTGCCATGTGATCCGACTCGGGAAGGAAGATGTCGTCGGTGAGAGGGACGTCCTCCTCACTACATGGGATGAAGGATAGCACATGTCCAGGAGTACCGAATGTATCCGGACAGGCGTGCAGCATCTTCCCTTCGATCTCAGCTCTGTGCGAAGGATACCATCCAGTCTTCAGAATCACGTGTTTCACTGGCCCTTGCTGGGGGCTAGATGTGAGCGCTTGCATGGCTTGAGGTAATCTCAGCTCATCATTCGAAGGTCTTGGTGTAATGAGCTCTAATTTCTCTGCTAGGTGCGGTCATAGTTTCTAATGAGAGACGCGCGCGGCATCACTCACCTGACGGTTTCCCTTGCTTCTCTCTCCCGCTTACCTTGCCGGTTTCCTGCTTGTCTCTGGGATGGACTCCGGGCTTTGGGGTATCAGACGGAAGCCCCAAGGCATTGACGGCGACAGCTCCAACAAGAGTGTTCCGGCCCCGAATCGAGTGTCTTGCATCCAGCACTGTCTTCATCACACCGAAACAGCACGCATTAGCGTTTCCGACACCGTCCATCTTGGGAAGAACGAATCGAACGCCGTCCGTGAACGAGGGAAGGCCAGCGTCCTCCCGACACGACCAGAGAGCGATCGAAAGAAAGACTTTCTCGACAGCGGCACAGGTGGAAGCGTCCGTGACATCCAGCCCGACCGAGGCCGTCAGTCCTCCACGATGGAAGATGAGAAAGCGCAGTTGCCGTTCGACGTGATTGAAGGCAATGACGACAGAGAACGAGCGCATCGGGTTCACGCTTAGCTGCGCATGGGCATATGCAGCGGCGTGCGGAATCAGCTCGCTCCAGATACGTTTGACGCCAACGGCGATCTGGACCTGCTGCAAGTGACGGTTGGGACCATGGTCGTCGAACGTCGATTGCCAGCAGCAGTCCAACTCCGTGCTCGAAGCTTGCAGTGTGTTGATCCCGACCAGGTCAGGCTTCAGTGGATTTGCCCCTTCGATACCGTCGAAAGTGCTCCTGTCGTATTCGTAGAAATTTAGCTCGGGAAGCAATCGGGATTCGTCTTTCAGGGCAGGGAACGACGTCTCGCCCACACAGACCTCTGCCTTGAAATCCACGATGACTCGGCAGGCTTTGCGCACGCGTTTCAGGCGTGCATTGAGGTACTTGGCGAGAGGTTCGTGGTGGCTTTTTTCAGTCGGGGAATTGCATGTGTACGCCGTTGCCGAGTTGCGTTGTGAAGACAAAGCGCGTAAGACAGCATCGGAGTTCACAAGACAGTCAAAGTGGGCGAGGCAATGGGGGCCTTCCGTTCCCTTCCACTGTCGTTGGAGACGCTTGGGAGACAGCATCGCAGCGATCTCATCAGCCGGAAACTGGTACACCTGTGAGCCCAGCTCACTTGCCATTTCTTTAATTGAAGTGTGTTGAGCGCGACGAGAAGAGTCCTGCACGGTTTTCGCTCTCGCGCGGAAGTCGAGGACGAGGCATTGAACGCTATGGCATTGCGCGTAATCCTAATCCCTTACTAGTCCAGACACATGATCCGTCACATGCTAAACTTGACCAACGCCCACCATGGAATTGTTGGATAGACAATCTACTATCGAGTTTGGCGCTCGACCAGGTTGATCATACAGAGATATCGTACAGAGATATCAATTGCATGAGCCAATTGAGGCCTCCACATGTCTCCTCCTCCCCAGGCTCTGGGCCCAAGCCCATTGAATTACTGATGCAAAATCACAGAATACATTCGCTTTAGCTGAGGTTTTGTCTTCTCAAATGTGACACACAGCGATTGAGAAGGATTTGATTGAGTTGCTCGAGCGTTCATAACACACTGCTCAGCACTGCATCACTCTGATCTTAGGTGCACTAAACGCGTCAACTGCTGTCAACAAACTGATTTTCCCTCTCGCACTTCAATGTTCTCCGCCCTCCGTGCCCCTGTCGTCCGGCGTTCCTCCCTCCGTGTCGGTCAAATACCTTTTTCATCTTGAGAAGCCTCTCCAACCGCATTATCCAGGCTTTCTCGACTACCTTGCCACAGCACGATCTCGCGAAACTGACACTCATTGGCACGCTTGGACGAGACCCCGAACTCAAAACCACTAAGAACGATAAGGAATTTGTGTCGTGCGTGTTGAATATCAACCGCGTCCAATGTCTCATTGCCCCCATGTGCAGTTACACAGTCGCGACGGGTTCTCGTGGTGCTAATGATGGTGCGTGGTCTAAATTTGGTTCATGCAATCTACATCCCTACTGACACTCTGGTCCTGCATGCAAAGAATGGACTACGACGTGGCATCGTGTCTTCTCCTTCTCGCCGGGCTCGAACAAATACCTTCAGACGCTGAAGGGCGGAAGCAAAGTCTACGTTGAAGCTGCCTTTGAAATTCGAGAACCCGAGTCCGGAGCGGACCCATCGACTGCTCAGGGCCAGCGTCAAATTTTCCTGCGACATGGTGCGCCTGGACTCGTCCCTGCGTACGGCCCTGCTGACGTTGCGTGTAGAGAACATCCAAGTGGTCTCGCGCCCCAAATCCGATTCGGAACACATTGAAGCAGCTGATGTGTAAACTCTTTCCCCACCTACCCTCTGTGACTTGTATATACCGTATCTCCCATCTTATTCGATTTTGCTTTCGGTGTGATATCACTATCAATACTGTGGGAAACTTGCTTGACAACTTGCTCTCGTCCAGGATGGAATTCTTCAATAGTGCTGGCTCTGACCCCCTTAAGCCATCTCTATTTGAACTGGTCGCGCAAGAGCAGCTTCGAGATTTGCTTCAACCTGCCCTGAAGTATGTCTTGGCGGTAAGACGCATCTCCAACGCGCTTGCGCAAACGCGTTGATCTTGTGCCAGTTTCTTGCACAACACTACCCGCGCTACTTGATTCGGGTGGTCAACCGACATGAAGAATTCTATGCGTTCATCATGCTATTCGTCGAGAAGCATTATCTGCTGAAGCATAGTGCGTCCCGCATCTCAATTGGGCACGGACCGACATGGTGTTGAACGTGGGGCATTGACAGACGCATCGTTTGCGGAGAATTTTTATGGTCTCAAACGCAGAAGGCGGCCTTTCATCGAGACCGAGCGAGCGCAGGCTGCTGTGGGCGGTATTCCATTAGCAGAGAAGCTGCGTTCGCAAGAGGTTTGGAGGTCGTTGATTATCCTCGTGCGTGAGTTCTCTTCCATCCGTAGCCTCACATGACGAGCTATACAAGGTCGGGCTGCCGTATCTCCGAGCCAAAGCCCAGGATTACTTTGAGGAGATTGGTGGTGGTGTCAGACACGACATTGACGACGAGCCAGGTTTTGACAGAGTTACGGTGAGTCGTCATGCAACCTTGCTTCCGATGCAAATTGAACGAGTCCAGCCATCCGAAGGTTTATACAGAAGACTATTCAAGAGAATATATCCATGGGCCAACACCTCCTTCGAAGTCTGGCTGCTGGTCTGGAACCTGAGATATCTCTTCAGCAAGACACCATTTTACCGACCGTGGCTGTCATGGGTCGGAGTTGAGCTCCGTCGACTGGGAGCGGAAGATTTCGTACGCATGAACTCTGCCTTTATTCAATGCTTCCTGACGCACAGAATCCCAGCGTGCAGCTGCCGATTTGGCCAACAAAAGCGCCAGTAGTAAGCCCTCCACCAACTTGCTGGCTCGATTGCGGGAGCTCCTTGTTGGCTCTCCTCAACTCGCACTGGACTCTCTGAGACTTCTTCTGCCTACTGCCATATTCTTCATCAAATTTTTGGAGTGGTGGTATTCCCCAGGATCGCCTGCGCGCTCTCTGTCGACTTCCCCGCTGGGACCGGCGGTCCCACCTCCAAGGATGCTCCGGCCGCACCCAAAAGGCATACGCTTTGATGCGCAGGGCTTTGGGAAGTGCCCGATCTGCGCAGACGATTTGAAGAACGCGACTGCTCTACCGTCTGGTTACGTTTTCTGCTACCGGTGTGCTTACGACGAGGTTGAAAAGCATGGGCAGTGCCCTGTGACGCTGTTACCGGTCCGGGTCTGGCAGCTGAGGAAGGTTATGGTATAGTCGTAGTCTATGTTACACGCATTCGTATGCTACGCGGGATCTGCAACGATTTTCATCAGTCTCCCGCATTTAGGTGGCGGGCCGGTCACCCGTTATTACGTAATACAAAGTACCTGGGGCAAACGTTCAACGATTCGAGTCCTTCTCTCATGGGCTTGCAATTGTACATATTGTTTTCATACTACCTTTGCCTCCCGTTCCTTTCTTCAACGGTTGATATCAATCCCAAATGAAGGTCAGTGTCTATTATTGCTCCTGTCGCACCGCAACACATTGGCTGACGTTGTCACGGCTTTACAGTTTGGGAAGCACATCCAGGCGCAACAAGTCCCAGGATGGTCTGCATACTACCTCGATTATAAATTCTTGAAGAAAATTATCTCCTCCCTGACTGCGAATCGGCCTGCACATGAAGCTGCCGCCCTCGCCGTCGGACTACGACCGACGGATATACTAGATGCGGCCCCTCCGTCTCAAGTCCCCTCCATTCCGCCCTTATTCGCTGCGGACTCGACTCAGGATGATCGGGGGGCGGACTTCAGGGCGCACAAGGCTGCATTCTTTTTCAAACTGGAGCGGGAGCTGGAGAAGGTGCCGTGCCGCGTTGGGTCGCGCTGCCGCCGTTGTGCCTGATTCATTCACCAGATCAACGAGTTTTACCTGCAGAAGGAAGCCGAGCTTAAGCTTCGACTCGAGACCCTACTTTCTAAACGGCGCGCTGCCGCCCTGCGAGGTTTCCCCGACCCGACGGAATCAGACTCGAGCCAAAATGTAGAGTGGACTGCGGTGGAAGAGGGCTTCCGTCACCTCGAACGAGATTTAGGGAAACTGCAGGTATAGGATCCATGTCCCCTCCCGCATCGCTCATCCACATACGATATCTTGCAGCAATTTGTGGAGATCAACGCCACAGGGTTCCGCAAGATCCTCAAAAAGTTCGACAAGCGGTCGACATCCACGACCAAGGAGCTGTATCTCGCACGACAAGTCGACGTGCAGCCCGTGTTCAATAGGCAACTGATCTCTGAGTTGTCCGACACTGTTGCTGCGTGTTTGCTAGATTTGACGGACCTGTCGTCGGGTCTCAAGTTCGAAGGATCGGCTGCGACGGATCTGTTTGCGCAGCAGATTCTAAACGAGCGCGCACAGCATCAAGGGCCGTTCCAAGACTTGGAGAATAATCTGCGGAAAGCCGTTGCGACTTCAGATACGTCTGCGATTGCGGAATACATCCACTACTCCGAGGTCCTTTCGCAGCAGGGGCAGGGCGGAAAAACGAACGTGACGCGGATCCTTTGGAATGCGATCATCGAGGCACCGCCTGATCTAGCGAACCTGATCCTGGCTTCGCTCACAACGCCATTCGACTTCGCGTTCATCGATGACATCAACGGACGCACGTGTCTGCACGAAGTAGCGATTGCTGGGGCGCCGCGGCTGGCTCAAATGTGCATTGAGAGGGGTGTGGATGCGACCAAGGTCGATGCGTACGGCCGGACTGCGTTGCACTACGCTGCGATGAACGGGCATGCCAGCATTTGCAAACTGCTGCTCCAAACCGCGATTTCCCCTGAAAGCCACGACATGGACAACTACACGGCGCTCGTTTATGCTACACTGAGCGGCAGTGCTGACTGCATCAGAGTTCTGCTGGACGACGGCCGGGTTGCGATCCAGCCTGGTGCGGCAGGAAACGATTTGATTCCTCTTTCTCTGGCCAGCCAGTCCGGCTACGTCGATGCGGTGAAGTTGCTTCTCGATCGCGGCGCCCGGTGTTTGCCGAACAGCAACGGAGAGTTCCCGATGCATCTCGCGGCGCGGGAAGGCCATGTCGATGTATGCAGGATGCTGGTAAACAAAGATGGCTGGGACACCCCAGACAAGTACCACGAGTGGACACCATTGTTTCACGCGGCGCGGTATGGTCGAGGGGAATGTGTGAAGATCCTATTGGATGCCGGTGCACGGGTGCGAGCAATGGATGAACTGGGCCATCTGGCGGTCTACTACGCCATGTGGTATGGGCACAACCAGTGCCTCAGTCCTCTACTCAGTGCTACCCCCATCATTTCGTCGATCGCGGTCCCTCCTCTCGTCATGAAAGACTCGCCGTTCTCCGATGCGCCGGTGACTGAAAACGAGATCGACCTGATACCCTCACTGTCTCTCCCTCCTCCCATCATGCCACATCGAGTGTACGGTCACAACTACTTGGACAAGAACCACCTCGTGCAGGTCACCATCGGCCAGACGTCTGGTCGAGACAGTGCTGTTCCCAGCGTTCGGCTGCACCACCGCCTCATCAGCCCTGCGTTCAAGAACGATGTGGTGATGGCCACCACGCCTCTCAAGCTTGTCATCACCACAAGCCGGGATGTCAATTCAGGCCCCTTCAGCATCCCTCTGCCGCAGAAGGAGTCGTCCGACACGTACACTTTCCAGATCGCCTCTCTAGACAACCTGTCTCTGATCTTCTCGGTCTACCCCAATTTTGGAACGAAAACTATCGGACGTGCCGTCGCACTTCCTGCGTTGTTCAAGAACTTTGAACGGAATCGACCGTTTGTGCTTCCCATCTTGGACACTCGGTTGCATGTCATTGGCGAGGTACGTCAATCTGTTCGGTTTTTCCTCAAGGAATACATTCCAGCGCATCGCACAGATCGACTTTGAAGTCAACATTGTCACGCCCTTTGACGGCGTAAAGCTCGAGGTCGGTGGGGATGTGGAGACGTATTGGAAGTCGCTGGCCCGACCACTGGCCCCACCGCGCGGCCCTTCGCGATGGCCGCATCGCTCGAATCTGATCGCATCCTCGACGACATCTCCGTCCGCGCATGCGATTACGAACAACGTGGGTCAGGCATCGACGATTTCGTCTCTCCGCGGGAGTTATCTCGCTCTCACTGTCCAGGTCACCCGTGATCTCCATCCTGTCATCTGCACGGACTGGATCCTCGCCCATCCTGACTTTGACCTGACGGTTGCGGACGTGACTCTCGCTCAATTTGAGGCACTGGCGAAGCTCCTGAGCCGCAACCTAACTGAGGAAGCAGACGTGTCGGCGATTGCGTCGTCGATGGTCTCTCTGGCTCAGGTCCTGCAGACGCTTCCGCCGACGCTGGGTGTGAATCTGGAGCTGGCGTACCCGAGAGCGCAGACGCGTCTGCATCTGAATGATTTCGTGGATTCTGTGCTACGCACGACGTACCACAACCCGGCGTCTCGGAGGAGATACGTCTTCACATCGTTCTCGCCGGATGTGTGTGCTGCAGTCAATTGGAAGCAGCCGAATTGTGCGTTTCAGCAGCTCATCATGTTTGTTCCATCGCACTCACACACACATACACTCTCTTTCTCCAGATCCCATTTTCTTCGCGACACAATGCGGGAAGAATCAGTCGGATCCGGACCGAGCCCCTTTTGTTGGAGGCGATGACTGGGACGGGAGGACCTCGAGCGTCGGTGCTGCAGTCGAATTCGCGCGCGCGAACAATCTATTGGGCATCTTCGTCGACTCGGAACTCTTGGTGCGTTTGCACGTGCGGTGCTGCTGCTGACACGACACTCACATGATGCCTGCAGATCCAAGTTCCTTCCCTGATCGATGGAATCCGCAATGCAGGGCTGCTCATCGGCATCAACGGCGCCTCGGACAAGACCGACGCGCTGACGACGGCATCGCACATCGAGGGCACCCCGGTCGATGGGTTCGTGCGCGATGGGAAGGTCGTCTACGTCGACCATTCCAGCCGGGAGCTGATCTGAAGCAGTATTTAAATGAGTAAATAAATAAATTGTAATCGGAATGTTGTATCAGCCCGTCGTCGAGGCATTCAAAGCGTCGTGGATTCGAATTTCGCTGAGCAGGACGAAGCATGTGAATTCGTGTGTTGCTTGTTGGCTGGCTCTGCAGTCCAAGTCCACATTTATTCATGATCAGATGTTGGGACCCCAATTCTGCTGGCAGATGACAACGTGGTAAGCAGGAAGGACAAGTAACGACAGGATATCTCGCATGTGTGATCTTGAGCAACCCGTTCAAAAGGCGTTTACAGTCCCGTTGGCCGGAGTAACCGCAAGCGTGCACCAGGGAGCCATGCCGTACGCTACTCCTTTGGTGACAGCCACCCAGGACGAGCTGTCGTACGTGGTATTCTGGAACCCGGCGGGGACGGTCGCGGTTCCCGGCCAGGACCACGATGCATCGCTGACCACGACGGCCGCGCCGGTGCACGTGCTCGCCGCGTGGACCAGGGTCATCTGCGCAGAAACGACGAGGCCCGCGGGGCCGCCCCCGTTCCAGGCGGAGACCGCGAAGACGACCTGGGCGGCTCCTTGCGGGCCGAAGTTGATGTTCCATGTCTGCGCGGTGGTGTAGCTCGCCCCAGACCCGATCGCGAATCCGTTGGCGTAGAGCGTGTTTGGCGGTTGGATTTCATCTGCATGAAATGCTGGGCGAAACCCACTCTTTTGAGGGAACATAGTCGGAAGTGGACTGGAAAAATCAGAGACTACGCGCACAGGCTTTTGAACAGTTCACACAGCCGAAAAGGGAAATAGTTTCGTTTCAAGAAGACGAGCTGAACGTTGTCCATGGCCCTCTCGCTATTCGCGTCAGGAAGTACTTATGTAATGAACCAAATGGATTGAGGTCTCGACCGTGGACACGAGACACCGCTGCAGAGAAGTTCAGAAGAAACGGAGGCGCCTACATATCTCAAAAACGAGAAGCACAGGAAAGGCAGTAAACGTCCCAAGTCATGGACCGATACAGCGTATGACGCTGTGTGCCCCAAGGCCCACGCAGATTTGAGCGAATCGCCATGATAGTCTTGAAGTAGGTCAATAGCGAACAACCTTCATTCGGAGCACGCAGACGTCAGTGTAGGTCCGGTCGTTTCCAGAAAGTCGCGGCTTCTGAACACACTCCAGATGCAGAATTTCTCCAAGAACCCCAGTTTTGAAGCGTTACAGTCGGTGGCATACAGGACGTCATTTAGCTGGAGATCTTGACTCGATAGGAATGCTTGAGATCGAGCAGCCAGCCTCGGCGGCTCCATCTGCCCACCCGCCGTGGTCTGACGTGCCGTAATAGACGGAGAAATGGAAGGACAGTGAGTCATCCAGCAGCTGTGCTGATGGCCTACGTGTTAGTGAGGGCAAACGGAAGTGTGATAGTGCACAGAAATGAGCAGAATAGAGCGAGCCGAGGCCCAATTCGTGTTCCCAAGGACGGACGAACTGCTTCCAGGAGCCACGCCGATAAATGGATTGCGAGTGGCCCGGTCGACTTCATTGGCAGTTAAATACCGAATGAGAGATACTCAGCAATTATCGAGTGATATTCACATCTGTCCAAGCTCGGTATCCGCCGATCGCCAGCCACCCCGCGTCCGTCATACGAGCCAAGACCAAGCCGTCTCAATCTTATTCCTCGGAGGGGCATCGTCACGGTCTTCCGCCTCAATCTCGCTGATATCCGACACAAAGTCCATCTGGTCGGGCGGGATCCAAGAGAGCGGATGCCCCCTGCAACGGTGGTACCAGCACTTGGCGGCGACGCACATGACAGGGAACAGCGCGAGCGGGAGGTAGTTGGTCACGAAGTTGGCTGTGGACCAGTGTCCGTGGACGAAAACAGACCACCCGCTGAACTGGACGCGCAGACAGATGCAGGCGTGAGAAAGTAGCATACGCAGGGGGTAGCAAGGCACTCACGAAGCACATCGCAGCGCAGAAGATCATCGCGTACCAGGCCGCAAAGGGCTGCAGACGCGAGGCGTAGGGCAGCGTCGAGCGGTCGTAGCCCTGAGCTTTCATGCCCCGGTGAAACCGGATGTACGTGAGCGAGATGCCGAACCACGACATCAGGCCCGCGACCGCAGTCATGTTGGCGAACCAGCCGAACACCTTGCCAGAGCCGGCTGTCACGCCCATGTATGAGAGAGTCGCGCTGGTGTCAGCTTCAGTGTGTTGTGACATGGAAGAAGAACCCAGCGCACAAGAGCGAGCAGAATATGACGGAAGAGATCGGCAGCCCATTCTTGAGGGTTTTGAGGAAGATCTTGGGGGCATTGCCTGCTGCCGCTAGACCGTATAGGGCCCGTGAGCTGGTATACAAGTCACTCGAGCCTGCACTCCAGGCGGAGGCCAGCAAACAAGCGTTGATGATCGAGGGGAGGACCCTGATGCCAGAGCTGGGGTTGTAAGTATGAGCAGAGGGATGGAGGATACAGATATGAGTTTTACCGTTGTATGGCGATGACAAAGCTAAAGTGCAATCAATCATGGTGAAAGGAAATAATGGAATTCAACTCACGGAGAGCTCGCTGCAGTGCCCGAGTCAAGGTCCAATCCTGGGCTGTCATGTGGCACAAGCAAGCCAATGATGAACACACCCCCGATATAGAACAGAAGGAGTCTGAAATCAACCCAGTTTCATAAGCGAACGAAGAAGCAAAGCAGCGGCAGTGCACACCGGATGTAGACACGCCGGATGGCCTTCGGCAAATTCCGTCGTGGGTTCTTCGCTTCTCCAGCAGCGATCTGTCCACAACACAAGCCTCAAGTTTGGCGCGTTACCAAGACAGTAATGCTCACCGCAACGATCTCGGTCCCACTGCGGCCCAGCATGTGTTAAAAGTCGGAATCTGTCCGAGATGTGCTTACATGAACGAAAACGCAGCCTGGGCCATCACAGACCACCACCCGACGAAGCGGCCCTCTGCACCCGGAATGTCGCCATACTCACCAAAAGGACCCGGGTGTTTCCAGAAACGAAATCCCAGACGATCGTGGTCAGGGCCGCCCCCCAGGTCAAGGACAAGGCCGAGCACGATCAATCCAGTGATCTGCAGATGGTCTCAGAATGATGAGCAGGACCAATAAAATGGATTCGACCGACAGTGATCACTTTGATCGAACTGTGAAGAAAAGTTGAACGGTTCGTGTGGGCAAAGAAGCGCAGGTGTGACTGACGCAAAGATGAACTCGGCTTCTCCGTACACACCCACCCCACACATGTTGATCCCCACCACGAAGATCAGAATCATCGTGATCCAAACAACTTCGCTGACGGAGTTATCCCAGTAGTCGACCAAAACGGCCGCAGCAGACATTTCGGCAGGCAGCGCTGCAGGGAGCGATGAGAATCTCGCCAGCATAAATGCACCGTTGCTCATACCAACTGTCCGAAACATATGAGTACCGAGGATACTGCAACGAAAGAACACGGAGGACGCAACTGATCAGGTTATACCAGTAGTTCCAGCTGACGTATATAATTAATTGTCAGACCTTCAGAACGGAGAAATGACGAACCCCATGGCAAAGGAGAAGGCCGGATCCACAAATCTTTCTGCAAGCTTGATATGTCCCCCTGGGATCGGGAGATAGGCCACCATTTCACCGAGCGAGATCCTATCGGTCACCGTCAGCATGCGGCGGAGATAACGCACAGTCTTCAATCACATACATGACCGAGTAACATATACTTCCAACGAGGAGGTATGCGATCAGCAAACCTGCATACATCGTCATGTAAGCGAGCAGATAGATCAGCGAGCAGTGTCTGGTCCACAGACCAGCAGGCCCGCCGTGACGCAGCGCTAGAAAGGGCATTGTCAGGAAGATGCCCAGCCACATTCATCGAAAATCCAGCGCACCGGTTGCCGTGCCCAGGAACAGCCCTGTGCCAATCACTCCCCCAATACTGTCCGCGGTTTTCAAGCGCGTCAGCATCCACACGCAGCAAAACGCGACGAGCCCCTCACCTGATCATCGTGATGTGCCCTCTTGAACGGTGAACAACGGATGCCATGGCGCACACAGACGACATCAGACGCACGGTTCTTCAGGTGCCGCACGAGCTTGTTGGGCTCCTGCTGGTACACTTCGATGACCTCGCGCACGGACGCACCGCGAAATTTGGCATCCGCTGCGTTCTCCGACATGCAGGGTGAGAAAGAGAGGGTGCTCGTGATCCCAGAGAGCTTGAGTTTATGTAGTAAGCGAGTAAATCCCTCGCGGCAAATCGCCGGGGCAAGTGGCCACCAGATCTATGTTCAGAAGTCGGGGAGCAGGCCCTTGTCCCGGATAGATCGGGCTGAGTGTCATCGTTGGCGGCGCATAAAGGTACGTTGCTGAGACGGGTCCCAATCCCGGAGGACCCATAGAGCTTCAGTCGTTCGGCACGCGTCCTGGGATACTACATAAATGGAATGCTGCGAGGAGTGACAACGAGCATAGACGCTGCTTCGATTACGTCAACAATCGAATGATGCGACGATCTATAATATGTTACAGCATGAATGTGATAGAATGTAAAGCTCAAGGCCGCCGGTACCAAGCGGGGTGGCTCGGAGTTGAGTGAAATACAGCTACCGAATACCGCCATCACTTCCAGAGGATTGAAAACATGCAGCTGTAGACCAAGGAGGGGTAGATCTCTTGATCTTTGTCTCATTCCCACGACCCTATACATCGCCCTCGGAAGCGGAAGATGGATGGATGGATTCACCGCATAGGTCCCTGTGCGGAACGGCGGAGCTCTGTACCTACACACACTGGCCTAGTACGGTGTATGCTACAGACAATGAGCGAACACCTCCAGTGCACTCGAAATACACTAGGGTCATCCTCTCGTGCAATAGCTTTGTTGAATGGGTTGATTTCGTACATGAGATCGGGTGCGCGGATGATGCATGACGGTCGAAAAGGGGCCGCGCATGGTGGATGGATGGATGAGAGGAGTCAGCGTCAGAGATCGCATTTGCAGAACGGCAGCATCGAAGCCTGGAGACCCCTTGGCAGTCGGGACTCTGTACTATTGAACAGGCCAAAAGTTCTTTTCGCACTGGGATGTTTTCCTTGTGCGCGCAATACAGCAGGCATAGGTGACGGTCACTGCACAAAGATAGCCCTGTGCCATGCCATTTCGAGGATATAGATGTGCATTTCTAAATGCATATTCTTGAAATCAACAGCCCGGGGCCCGAGCCCAGACTTGCCTGAGCCTGAGCCTGCCGGGCTTCAAAAGACCGAGGCCGGGTACTCAGGCTTCAAAAGACCGAGGCCGGGTACTCGGGCTTCAAAAGACCGAGGCCGGGTACTCGGGCTTGTAGGCCTTGAGCCCGAGCCCGCCCAACACTACTCAAGTATATACATCACACTATTCTCATAGTGCTTGTCCACTCCCGCCATGGAGACATCGGGCAAGATCACTTGGAAAGTCGACCAGGACACGGTGCAGACCGCGTACTGGGTCTACGGCGACCTCAGCACCGCCGCGATCCCGCTGATCGTGCTGCACGGAGGCCCGGGCTCCCCTCACGGCTACGTCCAGCCCCTCGCCCAGCTCGCGCAGCGCGGGCCGCACAGCGCGGTGATCATGTACGACCAGCTCGGCTGCGGCCAGTCGACGCACCTCGCGCACAAGCCGGCCGCGTTCTGGACCGTCGAGCTCTTCATGGACGAGCTCGAGCACGTGCTCGCGCACTTTGGCGTCGGCGGCGACACCCGGTTCGCGCTGCTCGGGCACTCGTGGGGCGGCATGCTCGCCGCGACGTACGCCGCGCGCCGCCGGCCCGCGAACCTGCATCGCCTCGTCATCTCCGACTCGCCGGCGTCGATGGCGCTGTGGGTCGAGGGCTGCGCCCAGCTGCTGGCCCAGTTCCCTGCGGGCTTCCGCGCGCTGTTGGCCAGCCACGAGGCGGCCGGGACGACCGAAAGCAAGGAGTACCAGGACGCGCTCCAGGTGTTCTACAAAAAGCACCTGTGCCGACTGGAGGTCTGGCCCGAGACCGTGGAGCAGTCGTTTGCGGAACTTGCGAAGGATCCGACGGTGTATATGACGATGTGCGTGTAAACCCCACCAATCACGTTGGTTTCTGCATACTCACCCCGGGCCGGTGACCAGGAATGGGCCATCGGAGTTCACGATCACGGGCTCGCTGAAGACCTGGACCATCGTCGACGAGCTGCACCACATCACCGCCCCGACGCTCGTGCTCAACGGCCGTTTCGACGAGGCACGCAACCTCGCAGTCGCACCGTTCTTCACGCACATCCGTGGCCCCGTCAAGTGGGTCGAGTTCGCGGAGAGCAGCCACATGCCATTCTACGAGGAACAGGAGCGCTATCTTGAGGTCGTCGCAGAGTTCCTGGCCCAGTAGGTTCCGTAGCTAGCAGGTCCAATGAGAAGTGCACTTTGATGCCGATCAATGACTTTCCATGATCTCATCAGGAAACCTACTGCGGCAGCCTGCAGGTCAGCGCAGGTCAGATCCGCATTCGTCCGGCAAACACCTGCGATCGTTCCTGATCAACCAGCACCCTGTCCGTCTCAGGTGCCCTTACTGCACCGCTCAAGCAGCGTCTACATAGCACAATTTGTTCACACTTGGCGGCCACATCGGAACTGAGGCAGAAACCTACGACGCAAAACCGTTCAGCTTCTTCTCGCTCGCAAGAACACGTCCAACCAAGAGATGCCCGCCGCAGAACTCGGCGCGCAGGTGTACCAGTTTCCGGCTGATGAGATCGCTGCGATGCTGTCTCCCAAGCGTCTCCAACGACAGTGGAAGGGAACGGAAGGCCCCCATCACCTCGCTCACTTTGACTGTCTTGTGAACTCCGACGCTGTCTCCCTCGCTTTGTCCTCGCAAAGTAACTCGGCAACGACGTACATATCTGAGTCCTTGACTGAAAGAGACCACTACGAACCTCTCGCCAAGTACCTCAATGCACGCCTAAAACGCGTGCGCAAAGCCTGCCGAGTAATCGTGGATTTCAAGGCAGAGGTCTGTGTGGGCGAGACGTCGTTTCCTGCCCTGAAAGACGAATCCCGATTGCTTCCCGAGCTAAATTTCTACGAATACGACAGGAGCACTTTCGACGGTATCGAAGGGGCAAATCTTCTCAACCCTGACCTTGTCGGGATCAACACACTGCAAGCTTCGAGCACGGAGTTGGACTGTTGCTGGCAATCGACGTTCGACGACCATGGTCCCAACCGTCACTTGCAGCAGATCCAGATCGCCGTTGGCGTCAAACATATCTGGAGCGAGCTGATTCCGCACGCCGCTGCATATGCCCATGCGCAGCTAAGCGTGAACCCGATGCGCTCGTTCTCTGTCGTCATTGCCTTCAATCACGTCGAACGGCAACTGCGCTTTCTCATCTTCCATCGTGGAGGACTGACGGCCTCGGTCGGGCTGCATGTCACGGACGCTTCCACCTGCGCCGCTGTCGAGAAAGTCTTTCTTTCGATCGCTCTCTGGTCGTGTCGGGAGGACGCTGGCTTTCCTTCGTTCACGGACTGCGTCCGTTTCGTACTTCCCGAGATGGATGATGTCGGAAACGCTGATGCATGCTGTTTCGGTGTTATGGAGACAGTGCTGGATGCAAGACACTCGATTCGGGGCCGGAACACTCTTGTTGGAGCTGTCGCCGTCAATGCCTTGGGGCTTCCATCCGATACCCAAAATCCCGGAGTCCATCCCAGAGACAAGCAGGAAACAGGCAAGGTAAGCGGGAGAGAGAAGCAAGAGAAACCGTCAGGTGAGTGATGCCGCGCGCGTCTCTACATTAGAAACTATGACCGCATTCCTAGCAGAGAAATCAGAGCTCATCGCACCACGACCTTCGAATGATGAGCTGAAATTACCTCAAGCCATGCAAGCGCTCACATCTAGCCCCCAGCAAGGGCCAGTGAAACACGTGATTCTGAAGACTGGATGGTATCCTTCGTACAGAGCTGAGATCGGAGGGAAGATGCTGCACGCCTGTCCGGATACATTCGGTACTGCTGGACATGTGCTATCCTTCATCCCATGTAGTGAGGAGGACGTCCCTCTCACCGACGACATCTTCCTTCCCGAGCCGGAACACATGGCAGATCGGCTCTGGCAGTATCGAAACGCGACTTCTCAAGTAGCCGACAAATCCCTTGACCATCGGACGATGTGTGTGCACATCACGACCAGCGAGGGGAAACGCCTCGAGACCTGCAAGACTCCCTGGGACCTCGTTATCTCTGCTGTACATGGCATGCTTGGTAAGTACTGCTTCTACTATAGGCCACATATTCTGATTCACTGGTTGGTCAGGCTGGCTTTCTCTGTTTCAGGCGGGTTTTCTTCATCGGAATGTCAGCATCGTCAATCTGCTGCGTTTGGATCCACCCTTGCATCGACCGAAATTCACGACCACGGTCATCGAACGAGTGCTGCGGGACATGTCTGCCGATTTCTCTGTCTTTGAAAAGCAGTCGGAGTTTGTTGTGGACCTCGGATCCCGTCTTGATCGCCTCGACCTTGCTGCCGGCGGTCTCCTTCCTGACTTTGACGGTCTCCTGCTGTCGCTCCGAAACGAGCCAGCTAAGCACAAATTGGCTGAGCTGGCTCACGCTGTGCAAATGGCTGTCGGCGAGCTGGACATCGGGACAGAGTGCCGGGGTATGATCATCGATGGCGATCAGGCATGCGAGCTGAAGGATTACTTCCGAAGCGACCACAGTCGAGGCACCATCTCGGTGCGCATCTTCTCTCTTTGCATCCATTTCACTTCCTGTCTGACACTGTCCAGGGCACACGCCGATTCATGTCCACAACTCTTAGAATGGCTCTCAGACATAGTACACCCTATTTGCAATCCCCTGTTGATGACCACGAGTCTGCGTTCTGGACTGGCCTTTCTGCGCTCTTACAAGGCCATGCTGACAAAGACTCGGAAATCGAGGTCGAGTGGGCGATTAATCTGGCCTCTCACAATCTCGATATTCGGGAAGCCGTGGTAGGTCCGCGTAAGCTGGGTGGACCACGGGAACTCCTTGTGTCCCAGACAAAGAATCCGTTTATCCTTGCCATGGCCCCATTCTTCCAAGAATGGTATAAACAGATCGTAGAGGCGCGGGACGATTGGGCTGGTGCTATAATGGATGTCAATGATCGTACTGGCGGTGATCAGCCGACAGCTGACGACAAGGAACTTCGTGGCTCCCTCCATGCTGTCCATTTCCAAGAGTTTGCGTATCGGGGCGTCCTCACGCTCCTGCGCGTCGCCAAGAAACATCGGGCTTCACTTCAATCGTACGGCACAGAGGACAGAACATAGGTGTGGGAGATTCTTCAGCTGTGTTTAGTACCAGAGATTTCATAAATACGATAGTGTTCCGAGCTGTGCGTAGTTGTTTTCTGGTTGTTGTCAAGCCATTGAGCACGTGGCCTCAGGCAGCAAGGTCT